CACAAATTGGTTCACATGGCATGCCTCGTATTCGTAGTGACTCTGCCACACACACACAGACACACACACACACACACATCTGTAAGCCACACATATGTAAAGCTCTGCTCTGCGCGCTACTGTTGTAATCTTACAACTTTAATTTCTGTTTTTCTTTAGTTTTTCTTGATTATTTCTTCTTCTCTTTTATTTATTTGCTGTTGCTGTCTCTGCTGCTGTTGTTATTTTGGGTAATTTCGGTGCATTCTCGAGCATTGAAGTGCCGACGCCGTATAGCCAGCTAATTTCGTATGTTTTTGCGATTATTGCAATGTCTCTCTGTTGTCTCTCCTTTTCTTTTTTCCAAGCCAGTCGCAGCGTTTACAGGTGTGAGTCGTCTGTGTTGATTGTGTGTTAATTAACTTTGGCATCGAGCGGCAGGCGGGACATTCGGGGCAGGCAGTCACTGTACATTTATGCTGTGGCTCATACAGTGGATGCAGTGGCAGTGCCAGTGGCAAAGTGCATCGCCAGTGTAAGCTGTAATTTGAAATTCCCTATCCGTAAGTCCACACATATAGATTACTTGTGCATACATAGTGGATCATGGATCATCCTTGAAGGATTCTGCAGCTTCTCTGGGGAGTCAGGATGTTCAGTCATTTTCTTAAGTGGCATCCCGACAGTCTTTTATTGGTGTTGTAAGTTTTGATTCCTTTGGAACCGGATTACTGTCTGGCTGAGACTCTCAGACCCGCTGCTCTTCTCAAGCTCTTCTTTTGATTGCCTGCCAATTCGTGGAATCTGTCCATAATGTTCGTCTGCTGTCCGGTGTCTGGTCTTTGGACGGTGTTTAGTTTTCGGCTGGGGTTTATTAACCGTTGACATTTGTATAACGCACGTCGCTGCCGCTGTACAGTTATCCCGTAATTTACTCGTAATTCGGAGGCCACAAAGTACGAGTACTGCGTGTGCCGTTATGGCACATTTTCATGTTTTACGAGTACTATACATATTCGAGTGTTTATGTATGTATGTGCGAGTATTCCCAGGAATGGCAGTCGTCGTCTTCGTCTTCCAGCGTGCTCCAGTTTCTGCTGGACAGAGCATTACAAAACGGCGAGTGAGTAGCCGCAAGTGGAGATACTCGTACATTTTCTGCTTTGGGCCATTTGTTGTAATTGGCATTGCTGCAAATCAATCAAATCACATCGGAGCCGGGCAATTTGTCTAATGAGTGTTGCCACAGGTAGCAGGTAGCAGCAGCCAGATAGGCCAGCCAATAAGCAGGCAACTGCGAGGTGCTAATAACCATTGCAAATTGAATGAAATGTATTGGAAGTGTCCAGTTCCCTGCGAGGCAGTGGGTACGGTACGGTACTCCATCTCCATCCATCTATCCCCCAATCCCAATTGGCAGCACCTTCTGCGCCTGTGCTGCGTTGCGTCGTCTCCCATTTGCAATGCGATTTGATGCAAATGCTAATTTGATTGTGGCAGCTCAATGCACTGCTGCTGTTGTTGCCACTGCCGCTGCCGCTGCAACTGATTGATTTCTCTGCCGAAGAGATACATAGATATATATATATAGATATAGAAGAACTAAGACCCCACGAACAATAGATGCGCATTTCGATGAGGCCGCCGCGCAAAAGGAAGCAAGTAGGAGTTGAGTTCTTTCCTTGGACTTATCTCTGGCTGGAACTGAGGCTGGGCACAGTCGGCACGGCATACATTGAACCTTTCGGCTGATAAACAAAATAGATATAGACCCATGTTGCATATTTATGAGTGCATCATTGTAAATTCTAAACCGCGCAAGGTACAAGCTGCAGAATAACTAGAATTTAACAGAAGGAACATAACGTTTTGCTCTGCTGCTGAATTCCATTTCACATATTTTAATAAATTATTTCTCGTAAACAGCCACTAACCAGCCAAATGGAGCTGCTACGTCCTTGACTAGTGTTTGTTTGTTTTCCGATTCTGACTCCGATTCATTCCATTCCATTCCATTAATTTGCATGCACTGAACCAAAATCATTTATCTGTGACAGCGTCGAGGGTTCTTTGGGTTATTAAATACTTAACTGGCCGAAATCCGGCAACGCCGCCTAGTCAGAGCTGAGAGCAGAGCCCAACCCAGGTCCCATGCCCATGCCCATGCCCAATCCAGGTCCCAGGCTGAGACTCACCTGAAGCACTTCCGCTGCACTCTATTAAGCACTTGTCTGCCACAAGGCGGCACTCGAAGACTTGGCCGCCGAGAAGAGAAACTTGGCAACGCCGCAAGTGAACGTCTGCCAACATATGATGAGGCTTAGGGGCTTGGAGCGCTTGGTGCTTGGAGCTTGGAGCTTGGTTATTTTCGGTGCGGTCGCATCAATGACCAACTGAGGCGCGCATGTGTGTGGGTCTCAGTGGATTTTCCTAGCTGCAATTTGTCTTGTTATTGTTGTTCTACTCGTGTTTGTCTGAAAACCACAAAAGACAACAGCGAAAATAAAAGAAAAACGCAGACAACACACACACACACACACACACACACAAAGATGAAAATTGATGGCAGAAAATCAAAAAGCAAAAGCAGCAGCAGCAGCAGAGCAGAGACAGAGCGTAGATCGGGTCTAGTCAACGTTGTTGTCTAAGTCCAATCTAAACTAGTCGAGGCGTTTGCGGTGGCTACCACAGAGTGCATTGACGTGTTGTTTGCATGTGCCTCTAGCACCACAGCCCCCTGCCCCCTGCCACCACCAGCCCCCTGCAGCACTAACTCTCCCCTCCAATCTTCTCAAGCAAGTTTCGTTTTCAGCTTTCTGAAGAATCGGCAACTTGCTGAAAAAACAAGATTTTTTATTTGATTTTTGTCTGTTTCTTTCGGTCGCTCTGCGAGTACATTGCACTTCCCCCAAAAGCGAAGCGAAGCCAAGCCAAGCCAAGTCCGACTTCAGCTCCAGCTCCAGCTACAGCCCGAGCTGGAGCTCCCGAGCTTCGGAGTCAGTCAACGCTGAGTGAGGAGGATCGGCAAGGTACTCGGTACGGTACCCGACCCGACTATGCTGTGCTATGCTGTGTGTGTGGCTGTGGATACTGGGGACACGTACACTTACACGTAGGTAGGTAGGTTGTTGCCTCGGCGCGGTCGTTGCTTGTTGCTGTTGTTGCTGTTGCTGCTGTCGCTGTTGTCGTCTTGGAAAACTGGGTCAATCACTGCCTCGCTTCGTGTTTTCTTGCATCTCTGGTGCCTCCTTTGGTTGGACTGGCTTTTTGGATGACGGCGCCAAATGAGTGTAAGTTGGTAACTTTTTATTGCTTTTTCATTTGCCTATTTCTTCTTGACGTTGCTGCTGCTGCTGTTGCTGCTGCATTTGTACGTGTAATTGCTGCAGATTGATGCCGATTTGGCCCAATTTCTCGTTCGGCTCTGGTACTGCGCGCATTCTCAGGCGAAGTCGATCCACTTCCGCTCTGTATAACCTTTCCTTTGACCTACCCTCAGATCGTCGGCTTCCGCCTCAGTGTGCCGCAGTGTGACATAACATAACTAACGGTTAAACGCACTTTAGCCGGTCACTCAAAAGTCGCAGACGGTGAAGAACATGTTGTTGTTATTGTTGTTGCTGTTGTACGGCTCTGTTGCCGGCTCTGAAAGGTTCTCATTCTCAGCTCTCATACAGAACGCCGGCCGGCTCCGGATCTCTCGATTAAAAAAACTGGTTCTCCACATGCGTCTTGTTCCGTATACGTATTGTCTGTCTGAGCATGTTTGTTCTTAGCCGACTTTTGTTTTTGGTTTTTACTCATTTCTGTTGTGTTCAGTGACTTTTTTTTTGTCGTTTGTGTCACGAGACCGCTGAAGTCATTTAATGTCTTTTAGTTCCACAGAATTTGCGGCATATGGGGTCTAGAGTCAGTTAATGGAAAGGTCTGTGCGACTGTGAGATCCGCTGAAGATACTCCGACTGGCAGTCGAGCTTTTAGTTCGTTTTTTGTGACAACTGAAGTCAAGTAGATTCTTAGATGGAGAAGATTGCGGCCGAAAGATTGGCTTTTAATTAAGAAAATCCACTCGGCTACTTATGCGTCTATTATTCACATTATGGAACTTTTCCTGAGCGCGAATAGAACTCAAATATAACTAGAGCTTCTCATGAACAAAATTTGAGTCCATGCAGCTAAATTAAATCGAAAATCGTGTATATAATAAATCAAAGCAATCACGCCTAGTGTTCATTTTAATACCCAAAAGCAATAAACTTATCATTTGAATAATTAAATAATATTTTTAAATTGAATTTCATTTCAAATTACCCGCCATATTGCAACTGTTCCCGTGGTGATGATAATTATTCGATAGTAATATCGATATCATACTACACAGTGGCGCCAGCTGGTATGTATGCGTAGCCCATACACAAACCAAACAATAGTACAGGTTTATTGCTCGGCTAAAGTAGGGAAACTGCACAGTGGCGCCGCTATTTTGAATTCAGAATGTGGATGTAAGTGGAACTATGCACAAGTAACTGCTTTTCAAGCAGTTTTTTCCGCTGATTCAATACTCGGAAATATTAGCCGAAAATGCTTTTAAAGGGAGGGAAACCCTTTGATCATTATCAAATTAAATTATAATTTAAAACAAATTATTTTTTATTATTTTTATTATATATCAAAAATGTTTGCCTTCATTAGTTTATTTATTTGGGTAAAATTGTTTTCCATTCATATGAATGTTTTGATGTATGTAAAACTACTAAAGAACGATGTTTGCACACGAATACAAATGTTAATAATTTGTGCCCTAAGATTATGTAAATACAATTGCGGATGATTTTGAGAAATTGCCTTCGTTCCGAGTAGGATCTGATCTCTTGAGAGAGTGTTCGATTATCTTTGGATGAGCTTAGTTCATTTCATTTCATATCATATCGTTCATATATCGTTTATAGATCGTTTATATATTGCCAAACTGTTTTTCATCAGTCTTGAGTGCAAATTTGAGCGGACATTTCTCGAGAATTGTGTGTAAATTCGTTTCGTTTTATTTCAAAATACTAGATACTTGTTTGGGGTTTGCTAGAGTTGCGTTGCATATAAATAATTATATAAAAATGGGAGATTGATTTTGTTTCTTTGTTGCCCTAAACTAAATGAAACGTTGAGTTGAGTAGAAAAATACGGGGGTACTTTCGGATGCATGGATGGGATGGATGGAAAGTGAAAAAGTGAAAAAATGGCTGCGAGAAATGCGATAGACGTGCCTCCGGTGTAAAGTGTAGCGTAGAGAGCCGAAATTATAGATGGAAAGATGATGATGAGAGAGAGAGGGTGAGAGATGGTAGATGAGCGTGAATTACAGATAGATAGTGAGAGTTAGAATAACACAGGGGTAAGAGAGAGAGGGTAGGTAGATGGGAGGAAGCTAGAGCTTTGGAACATTTCCGTTTGATGTTCTAACTACGCTTGACCTTTCCTGTCTGTCTGTCTATGTCTGTCTGTGTTTGTGTATCTGTGTGCTGTGCTGTGTGTCAGTAGTGGTGTGTGTTTGTCTTTGTGTGTGTCTGTTTCAGAGAATGCTGCAATGCTTGGCTGACAGCTGTTGCCGCATGCCGCGCAGAAACACGCGTTCCCCCTCACGCACGCACCTCATTCCTCTGGCCACACCATTAAATACAATCGCCCTCGACCTCCTCCTGGTTAACATCGGGATCGAACTCGTCGTCGGCCGTTGCCTCCTGGTACTGCTGGTACTCGGAGACCAGATCGTTCATGTTGCTCTCCGCCTCGGTGAACTCCATCTCGTCCATGCCCTCGCCGGTGTACCAGTGGAGGAAGGCCTTGCGTCGGAACATGGCCGAGAACTGCTCGGAGATGCGCTTGAAGAGCTCCTGGATGGCGGTGGTGTTGCCAATGAAGGTCGAGGACATCTTCAGCCCCTTGGGCGGGATGTCGCACACAGCCGTCTTCACGTTGTTCGGTATCCACTCGACGAAGTACGAGCTGTTCTTGTTCTGCACCGCCAGCATCTGCTCGTCCACCTCCTTCATGGACATGCGGCCCCGGAAGACGGCGGCCACGGTGAGGTAGCGGCCATGGCGCGGATCACAGGCAGCCATCATGTTCTTGGCATCGAACATCTGTTGGGTCAGCTCGGGCACGGACAGGGCGCGGTACTGCTGCGAGCCGCGCGAGGTGAGAGGCGCGAATCCGGGCATGAAGAAGTGGAGACGTGGGAATGGAACCATGTTGACGGCCAGCTTGCGTAGATCGGCGTTCAGCTGGCCGGGGAAGCGCAGGCAGGTGGTCACGCCGGACATGGTGAGCGAGACCAGGTGATTGAGGTCCCCGTAGCTCGGATTGGAGACCTTCAGGGTCCTAAAGCAGATGTCGTACAGTGCCTCGTTGTCGATGCAGTACGTCTCGTCTGTGTTCTCCACCAGCTGGTGTATGGACAGGGTGGCGTTGTAGGGCTCCACCACAGTGTCGGACACCTTCGGCGAGGGCACCACCGAGTACGTGTTCATGATGCGGTCCGGATACTCTTCGCGTATCTTCGAAATGAGCAGAGTGCCCATGCCGGAGCCGGTTCCGCCGCCCAGCGAGTGGGTCAGCTGGAAGCCCTGCGGAGCGTAGGGGGAACATGTGTTGGGTTATATTGCTGCTCGCTGCAGGTCGCACTGCTTCACACTCACCTGCAGGCAGTCGCAGTTCTCGCACTCCTTGCGCACCACGTCCAGGACATTGTCCACCAGTTCGGCACCCTCCGTGTAGTGACCCTTGGCCCAGTTGTTGCCGGCGCCCGACTGCCCAAACACAAAGTTATCCGGACGGAAGAGCTGGCCATAGGGTCCCGAACGCACCGACTCCATGGTGCCCGGCTCCAGATCCAACAGGATGGCACGAGGCACATATTTGCCACCCGACGAGCGCGTCACCGCTGCGATAAGTTAGGGGTTATAAAGTGTTGAGGATTGCTCGGGCTGAGTCTTACCTGCTGCCTCGTTGTAGTAGACGCTGATACGCTCCAGCTGCAGATCACTGTCGCCCACATAGATGCCATTGCTGTCAATGCCGTGCTCCTCCGAAATAACCTCCCAGAACTGCAAGCAACGAAAATGGAAGGGGTTAAGATAGGCGCACTTGCAATTTGCTTACAACTCAATCAGACTGGCTCCAGCATCTTTCTTGCTTTCCACTGGGGAAGCAGATAATCCCTTCTTATCGCCCAGCCAAGAGGCAGATATCTTTACGAACCAAAGCCGACATCCACAATTTATCAGGCACTTGGCAATCGCCAGATATTTTAGCACAACACACACAAAGTGTGAGTATGTTTCTCGAGTCGTTTATCAAATTGAATAATTGTGCCCACCCAGCCGTGTCAGAGTTCATGTTGGGCCTGAGCCCGCTTGACATATGGCCGCGGCCGCAGAGACCGCCCGAAAAGCAAAACCAACACCAACACCAAGAACAACAGTAACGGGAAAAGAAAAGCAAACAATTCTAAAAATGTCTGTTTTGCCTCCTCCGATGTGACAATGTGACAAACAACAAGGCGCAGCCGCAGCCCATAAAGTTTGAGGTTTTTAAAAAAATATACTCGTACATTTGGAAGTCCATATATGGGGCCCTGTGGCATCAAAAGTGAGACAGATTGCCAAAAAAAAATGGAAAAAAATGGGGAAAAATAAATTTATGTTTAGTTTTTCAAACCGTCAGTTTGGATGGATGGACGCTCGGGACATGCCCTGATTTAGTGCTAAATTTAAAAGATACTCGTACTCGTACGTCCGGGCCAGTAAAAAATACGAATAGTTTCCCTCTTCCCTCGATGTATGGGACGAAATTTCCAAGCAGCGTCAGCCGAGTCTCGCCGCCTGCATCGCTCCTGGGGTGCAACCTTAGGCAGCGAAAAATGCATTTAAAAATAGTTCAGCCCGTGGGATGGAATGGGATGGGAATGGGATCCTATACCATGGGATGGTATGAGATGGGACCGACGGAGAGGCCACGACTCCGGCTGCGACTGGCTGACTCATACACGATATATAGAATCTTCTGGTTGTGAATCTTCTGCAGGCCAACGACCCAACACGAGGCAGAGGCATAGGGCAGGGGCCTGGTGATGGGACTGGGGCTGGGGCTGGGCATGGCGACAACATCATTAGAGGGGCCCCGGTTTGAATTGCTATAAATTAAGTATATCATGGATAGATTTATGGAGGAAATGCTCTGCAATTGTCTTGCTGCGTTTAACAGAGCCAAATTGGGGAATTGCTGCCCGAGTTAGTTAAACATTAGCCTCTCAAATTGGGGAACGTCGAATATTGGGGGGATATTGGGGAGAGCTGGACTATTTTCGGGCTCGTCTTCGGCTGTGGGTCTCCAGTGGAGCGAGACGTAGCTGGCCTGGCAACAGCCCAGAGTCTCGAACTCTTGGATACCCCAAAAGTGGAGAGGAAATAATAAAAATGTTAGCGATTCCCCCCGTCCTCCAACTCCGTGTCTGAGGTATTTCCCTTTGGCACTTGAACTTGACGGGTGAGACTACGTATAAACAAGACGGCAACTGAGGACTGGGGACCGTGGATTGTGGACTGGTGCTGGTGCTGGCCCTGGTTCTTGTTCTGCCCATGGCGTCTGCATTTCGTTGTTTGTTTAAAAATGAAAGAAAGAGAGAAACTAACAGCAGCAGCAGCAGCCACAGCCACAGAAAAATGAGTCTCAAGCAACTGCAATCTTAGCAAGATCATCAAATTTAATTGGAGTGTGGCCGCTGCAATTATGGAGCTAAGCCATGGCAGCCGCAACAATAAAGCTCACTATATAAGGCCGAACGGACGGATGGACGGGCGGACAGACGAAAGCCACACAACAACGAATATGAAAACTAAATTAGCACACAAAACTGTTGAAGTGAAAAGTCGTTTTTCATCTCTACCCATGCCCCCCCTTCTCTCGCTATCTCTGTCTCTGGCTCTGTCTCTGTTGTCTTTCCACTCACTTCCACTTCCACTTCTTGCCCGACAATCGCTGATCGCTTTACTTTTACATTCAACCAATTTTTCATTTCGGATTTTTCCTTTTGATGATAATAGTTTTGCCGGAAAATTGCCTTTTTTTCGGTGAACGTTAACTGCAGCCAGCAGCCAGTGGATCGTGAGAGTGAGAGACTCCGGCTGTAAATGTGGCATACAGTTAGATTGTAATTATAGATGTATGGCTGCACCGATGCACCGATGCACCGATGCTGAGGGTAAGATTGATTCCTCCGTGGAAAAGAATTGAGTTTGGAGAGATAGTTCCTGCACGGATCATGTAGCTGTATCCAATTGGATTTACGTCTACATTTGGTGGGTTTGCTATATACCTAGATCATTTATTTTAGTTGAGAGGTGTTCCTCCGTTTCTATAGATTTTCCCCGAATCGCATGGCAGTCGACATCTGTTCCGAAAATTCGCTGTTCTTGCTGGTGTTTCACCTCCCCTCCCCAAAATGTCTATAAATTTTCCTTTGTAATTAATTTCAAAAGCTCTGCTGCATGGCAACTGCTGCAACCGTTGCAGCTACTCTTCGCTCCACTCCTCTCCACTCACCGCCGGGCCCCACCCCTTCCTTTAACCCACCCCGCCTGCTACGCCTGCCACGCCTCTTGCATGCGATCATCTGGCGACGGGCAATTGAGACGCCCTCATTAAGTGTTGCATGTCTGGAAGCCGCCATGAAGTAGCCAAAGACTCCTCCACGGCTGCACTGCTTCAGATTCAGAGCCCCCTCTATCTCTTGCCTGCCCCTCCACTCCACCAGACTTTTCTAGTTGTCTTTCTGGCTCTTGAAGAGGAAATCACTCGGGCATGAACTTGGAGCCAGTCTGAAGCACAAGCAACATCCAATCTCTCCCTCCCGCCAGAGGATCACTGACTTTCCGGCCTGTATACGTACTGCCTCGTCTTCTGCAACGTTCTCGCAAAAGAAAGAAATATGCAAAAAGACAGAGAAGTATTGCCACTAGATACAAAACATTTGGCATCAAGAGGAATTCTTTTGATTGAAGCTGTGGCTGGGGCTGGGGCTGTACACCAACCGATCTTGGGGCATTTGTCTTTTCTCCAGCAGCTGCTGTGGGGTGTCAAAAAGTCAGGCGATAAGAAATCTGGCCAGGGGCATGGCCGTTGTGAAAGTGAATGGGGTTTATTGACTCTAACAATCAGTTGCAGTCTCTCGCGAATTCAATATAATCTGGGTGTATAATTAATATGCATTTATTGTCGTATCGTGTGCTAAAAACGGAAACAGAGAACGAATTCTGAATTGGTATGCAGCCCCGATATCCTGTAATGGTATACCCCAACCGGGTGACTCACTTCCTTCTACCTCCCCTTGCACTTGTGAGGTTTTCCTTTGGCCAAGCCAATCCGCATCTGTAGGCAGAGCCGAGCGCTGCCTGTCACATTTTTGTGTGTTTTAATGTCCACTCAGCTGTTCTTTTTTTTGTTTTCTTCTTGTTTTTGGGCTCTCACATTACGGGGGGGTTCGCTCCTCAAGTTACCAAGTCAACTGCTCATCGTAGCCGTCGTAGCCGTCGCCGTCGCCTCGTACGAGTACAATATCTTATTCATGTCCGTGGGTCTGTATCTATGTACTCAAGCGTGTGTGTATGTACTAGTATGTACAGCGGAGTATACTGCTCCATAAAACCATTACTATTGCCGAAATTCCGAGAAGCACAAAAGGCAGGCGAAATTTACTTGCTTAAATTGACGCTGCCGCCGTTCTTTGCTGACTCTGTCTCTGATTCTGACTATGAATCTGCCCCCTGGATCCCTCTCAGCCCCATTGGCCCCTAAATTGAGTCACAACAAGTGATGATGATGATGATGATGTGGGCTTATCTTTTATTTTCTGTTTAGCCATACTTTAATTAGCTAATAATGTTATCAGCAATAGCTGTTTCTCTTTCCAAACGTGACACACATTGCAGTAAGTATCTGGAACTGGAAAATAATCAATGCCCCAGACGGAGACGTAGACGGAGACGTTAAGCATTGACATTGATTCCACAGAAAAATCCACTCAACGGGGACCCACTTGTCAATGCCTCAAGCAAAAATGCACACGAAAAAATAAACAAGAGTCAAAAAACTGGTATTGCCAAAAATCAAAGAGTTCGCTTGCAAGCCGGTTACCTGGCTGCCTCCTTTAGCGGGTGGAAGAGCGGGAGGCTGCCACCAGCCACCAGGGTCTTGGATTCGATGCGTTGCACTTTGCACACAGCTCGTGTTTTGGGGCATGTCGATTGTGTAGTGTGGGCTAGTACCTACTCGCATGTACAGTAAAGGCTCCACTGAATATCGGAAATTTGATTGCATTGTTTGCTTTTATCGAGCTGCCGTTTCCTGTTTGCTTTTACAAATCATAACGATGATAGCTGACAAGCGATCTGCTCATGCTTACGGTTTGATTCCGTATTAGGAGACTGCTAGAACCTTTATGAATATTTATACTAGCAAGCCACTAGCTAGTCCTCGGCGGCTTCGCCCGCACAAATATTTATATAGATTATCGAATGAGCTGCAACTCGTTAGCTTTTCTGGATATTTATTCTAATCTAAAAAATAACTTAAGCAAAGCTGTATTTTATTTTCTATCCGATATATGTTTTGCAACAAAGGAAAATTAATGTTTTCCGACCAATATAATTTGTAATATTTTCTGCTCCGTACTTTCCATACTTATTTTTATTGCAGTTTTTTGTGGTTTCTTCGGCGGTAAGTTGGGGAAGGAAGTTCAAGCAAAGCGAAAAGATTTCACCGCAAAGATAATTCAACAGATTTCCCTTCCCGGCACAGGCAGCGGCAGCGGCAAGGCGGAGGAGGCAACTCAAGAAAGAAATCTCAAAACGGTTCCCTGGCCCTTTTCTTGCTGATTTGCGCCTTACATCAAAATGCCATAATTCTGCTGCTGCTCCTCCTCCAGCGCTTGTCCCTTGCCCTTGTTCCTGCTCATCTCCAGCCCCACCCTGGAAGGAGACTTGGGTTCGCAGTGAATCACTTTTCATGATCTGCAGCCAAACCCAACCCGTTTTTTCTTTTCGTTTTCTTTTTTTTTTTTGTTTGTTTGGCAATCAGAAAGGGCATATGGAGTGCCGGACAAAGTCAAAATAAATTTCTTTGCTTGATAACTTTTTTTTTGCACTTTGCATTTTATTTGAAGTCTGCTTTTTGATCTGTGCTCTGGCTTTTTGTTAATTTTCTTTCGCTTTAATTGCTGAATGCGCTGAAAAAGGCGGCGACGGCGCACTGGGTCCCAGCACGATCATTTTGGAAACTCATTGAAAAACGTTTTCGGTCATTGTGCATAAATTAACAATCGAATCGGCCAGCAACAACAACAAAAAGAGCAGAGCTACAGCAGGGGAAAATTAAAAATATAATGAGGCTTACCTTAGCGCCAATTTGGTTGCCGCACTGGCCGGCCTGCAGATGGACAATTTCTCTCATTTTCCGACTGGGTGGAGGGGGACTTGCTGTGGCTAACAAATGCGAGTTGGGGAGCCTGTGGGCCTGGAGCTGATTCTGAAACTGAATCGGAATCTGCTGCGATGTCTGGAGGATGCAAACTGCTATCGGTTCCTTTGCTCTCTGGCTGCACTGTTGCACTGGTTGCTCTGGATGCTCTGGTTTGGGCAACTTTACCGCACAACGCACAAAACTCAACTGATCAACAGACGACGGCTGGCCGAAGTCAGACGATGGTTCTGGGCGACTGTCGGCTTCAGCCAAGCGAGAGGGAAGATCACTCACACAGCTACTCAAACTCGAACACAAACACACACACAGCTTACAGAGGCGCGGCACACACACAGCGATACGTCAGCGTGACTGCAAGGCAGAAGCCAGCAGTCAACTCACGCACGCAGCAGGGTCGGTCCGTCTACAGCTTTTTACGAGTACGAGTACGAGTGCTGTTGGCAGCTTTAATCACACGAACACGACAGGCCAAGAAGCCGAACCAACAAGAATATTATGAGTTGGCTATTTATAATCAATGTGGCAGGGACAGGGAGTCCATAACTAGGGATGAGTCGATATGGGATGGGAACTACATTTATTAACAACTTTATGACTTTATGAGAAACCAGCAACGAAAGCTAATCGAATAAATCAGTGGAAAGCACTGCCAATAGGCAGTTCTTTTCTTCAGGTTAAGTCGGGCACATATTGCACACTCAATTGGAAAGTTTAAGGTTCTAATCAAAGTGCGAATCAATCAATTCGGTTCGCTTCAATTTTAATTCCCATTGTCCCCCATGATTTGGCTCTGTATCTGCATCTGTATCTGCATCTGATCTGCATGTCAGGCACAGAAATAGGTAGCTCCTTGTATATATGTACGTATCTGTGTATATATTAAGACGTCCGTCTGGCACCCCGTCGTCGTTTTCCTGTTCCTAAGTTCACACATTTTTATGCTGTCAACTGCAGCGCCTTTCACGTTCTAATTTTATCAGCCAGAATGCACAGGTATGCAACTCCTCTTCCCAGCCATTCCTCTCTCCATCCCTATCTGTGTAATTTTATATGCATCAGCGTGACTGTAGCTATGTGTTCGAGATTGTATTTGTGTGTGTGGTGTGTGTGTGTGTGAATGCACTTCCACAAAAGTGTCACCGCAGTCATTAGAAATGTTTCGTCTTCTTACATGTGTTTTTCCTTTCATTTTTGTACTCTCCTAATGCATTCGGAACAGGAGAAATGTATTTATAGTCGTCGGACTTGGAGATCTTCTTCTGGTACCACTTACTCTGCTGCTGGCTCTCCCTGGTGCGCCAGAGATTCTCGCAGCTCGGCGGCGTCTATTTCCCATTTTCTTGGGAAATCAATCAATGCCCCAGCAAGACAATTTGTAGTCGTTTTACTTTCTAATTGCATTCAAGTTGAAAGAGCAAGAGCACACAGCTTAAGTAGAGTGAATACTCGTAGTTCGCGGGACGGGAAGGGGAAGACTGCACACTCCTCAAGTGCCTCTGTCAGGCCTATTTCCATCCGAGTCAGTTAAACCGCAAAATTCACTTTAATTTCGATGGCAAGGCAGCCAGCAGACATCCCTTACTTTTTCGCTCTCCTTTTCTTGCCCCCAACCTTTCTTACTTGTGCGTCTTTTGCTAAATTTAAATATGCCACAAAATAATCTCGAATTTACGAGCCCCAATAGATAAAATGTTTGCATTCAGAGCCGGCAGAAGAACTACAATCCAAACGATCAATGGCGACAACCACACAAAGGACATGAGTGGCCACACCAGAAAAGGACAGGACCTAACAGAGCAGTGCAAACTTGTGCAGGCCTCTGGACCGAAGCGACAACAAATATGTATATTGCTGACATTTTTGGCTGGTCAATCGGAAGCAGGAGTCTGCACACTTTTTTGAAACAGGCGTAGTCAGCAAGGGGTCTTTTCTGTGGGTCGAAGCAGCAGGAAATGGAAAGTTTATTGCACTTTTAATTGGGCAATGAATGGGGGGAAGATTTTGCGAATGAGCTGCAATAATAGGCTTTAGTGGAGGAATTTGAAATAGAATTTGCATCTTTCAATAGGTATTTATGAGAACTTATAACAAAGCTGGACAGTACTCTGTCTCTTCTTATTTGTTGTGAATTTAAAAGTTTTCTCTACACATTCCATTCAAACGAAAAGTGGGTTTTTCAAACGAGATAATTTTTCCATTTCTTAAAAACTATCTTCAAGCTTTGAAACAAAAACAGAGTAATTTTCGCTTGGCTGCTTTTGCAGGGGTAAGCCTTAAAGCTGATTCCCATACCTTCCAAGGTAGGGCTTGGGCCATTGGGTAGGGCTACGCCTATGTCAACACGCACATCCATGCATCCTTACGAGCATAGAGCCCACCATTACCACTTGACTGCGTTTGTGCGTTTGTGTGTGTGTGTGTGTTTTTTGATGTGTGGGGGAAAACCCTAACAAAAAGTAACAAATGTTTTTTTAGGATTTGTGTTTTGGGAATTTTTGCACTTGTGTAAATGTAAACGCTTCACACGCACCGCACAAAAAATACACACAGTGATACACGAGAATATATGAGAATACAAAGCTATTTAAGCAAAAATTATACGCCCACAATATGTCTACATACATACATACATACAACATATTGAAAAAGAAAAATTATTGCAATCATTGTCATTTTCATTTTCATAGTAGTATTATTCCTATACCATACATACATATGTACATGTATACTCGTAGATATGTTATTGCAACTGTTATTAGCATGTTTACAGAGGATGCTGCCCCGTCCACAGCCACATACATGCATATGTATATTTCTGATTGATTTGGCCAGCCAGTAGGGAATGAATGTTTTAGTTTATTTTCAAACTTATGAGGCCTCCATTTTCCCCATTACATGTACCTATATGTGTATTTGTGTAAGTATGTAATTATCATTTTAATTTCTGTCCCTGACAATCTCGTTTTGTTCTATCTCATTTTGAAATGAAATTAATTTTGCATAATTGCTTTTTGGTTTTCACGTTTTTCTAGCCGTTTTTCTGTGCGGTGGCTGATTTTTGTATCCTTTGGCCGCATTTTAATTGAATTTGATTGATTTTTGCTGATGTTGCTGATGGAAAAATAATATTGTTGTAAAATCGTAACCCCCTGACTGTGGTGTAGTGGAAAGGGAGGATTGGTAATGCTGTGTCTGTGGGACAAAGCCCTGAGGCTTAGGAGCACACCGAACAGGGCACAAACAGGTGTGCACAAGGGGATTTTATCTCTCTGCCTCTCTTTGAGCTGTGAGCTTTTCAAACTAACACGTGTGGCATGCCCTAAGGCGCTTTAGCAAAAAGGAAAAGGAAATCTTGCCATTTGTTGCACAGCAGAGTCTTAAAGCGTGATTTCATAAATAGATTTTATATATATGTATTCATTCAATCTTTTTGCTCCTCCGCAGCCTTTACCTCAAATGTCAGGAACTTTTAGCTGGAAATTTATGCGACTAATTTTTCTCATACTTTTTTATGATGCCCAGACCCCATCCCTGCGGCAGAAGTGGACACCAACAGATGCTGCTGCGCTGCTGCTAGCCAATAGTTTTTGTTGCCAATTAGTTGTTTTAATTGCAAAAACGTTGCCAATTATGCAACACGAGGCGAGACAAGAGGCAACAAGCGTTGCAACTACGAAATGACAATTTAATTGTTACCCTCCTCCCATTACCCATCAGCCACCACCACCCTTGCTGCCACCCACCAACGTGGATACGTATCCTATCCGACCAGCTCCTCTCCGCAATCACGTATACGCCATGTGGCCGATAGCTGAAAGTGCCCGTGAGGACGGAAGCAGGGGGCTTACACCTTGTTGCCACAGGGCAATCTGGGAGATATCTCCAGCGTTTATGGACGAGCCGCAGCAATTTCAATAAATCTTGACAATGCCCTAAAAATATTAGCATAATAAAAGGCGCGACAACAGAACAGAAGGGTCAAGTCAATATTGTGGCAGCATCCAACGCAGTTGCCACATTTACACAGAGAGAGGCAGCAGCTCCCGCAGCAGTGTGGCAGTAGCAGCAGCAGCAGTGGCAAATTTATGTCAGCAACAAGCTATCAGCCCGCACAGATACTCCACCCAAACGACCTTAATACGCATAATTTTCGTCGCGAGGGATGGGGTGGTGGTGGAGGATGAGGATGAGGATGAACGAGAGGTGGCCATGCCATGCCATATAATGTGGTGCAGGCATCGATCAGCAATAAAAATTCAAATTTCGCACAGAGCGGCACAAAAATGTTCGATGTGAAACAAGGCTGGTCTTAAATGTATACCCTGGAGTGGAATAGTATGGCTGCATGGATTGTTTCGACTGATAGTCATTTGGGGGGAGCATTTGGGAAGAATTTCCAAGAGTTGCAGCTAAGAAAATTGTATTTTTGATGGCATACTTGTAGGAGGTAACTGTTTTTGGTTCCCCGAAACTTCCGACCCAAAAGGGCATTGAAAACTCCATCATTGTGGGAGGATCCTTGCTTTCCTATATTAGATAATATATTTGATTGTGCGAATATGTGTGTGTGTTGTGTGTGTGTGTGTGTGTCTGCGATACATTGTAAGTATTGGCTGAGCGACAAAGCTCTGTTTCGCTCAGCTGACTTTAGTTCCCCCACTCTCTGTCTCTCTCTCTGACTCGTTCTGTGGCGCCTTCACATTTTTGCCAATTGGCCAACAAGTGTTGCCAAATTGCGTTGCGGTTGCTGGCCATAAATAACGGTACTTTTGTCATTTATACACATAAATTGCAGCAGACGCTGAAACGCGAAAAGAACAAAAAAAAACGAAAGAATAGCCGAGAGCCAGTAAGCCTGTACTGGTGCTGTGAGCCAGGACTGGTCGTGCCTGGCCTGGCCTGGCCCATGTCCTGCTTTGGTATTCCGTTAAACAAAAAACGAAAAGCACAAAACACCGAACACTCTGGCCATCGCATAGGCCTCCTGCTATCCATCCAGGCGATGCCCGATTGCTGCTGCTGCCACTACCACGGCCGCTGCCGCTGCTGCTGCTGCTGCTGCTGCCCACACTAACGACATTGGCGACAGAACGCAGCTGTCGCTTGCCATTTGGCAATAATTGTTTAATATGCGGGCGCATAAAGGCGGTCGGCGAGGTGGCTTCGGCCCATAAAAAACAACAGCAGCGACAGCGGCAGCAGCTGCACGAGAGCCACCCAGAGAGAGCGATTGGACCAAAGAAAGCTTAGCCAGGCCCACGTGTGTCCTGTGTCCTGCCCACTGATGCAGTACCTACCCAAGCCGAGCAGCTGCGGCAGGCGTCCGCTTCCCTGCCCCAACCCTCACGTACTACGTATCAAATGGATGCGAGAGCAGCTCCCATTTCGATTGGCAGTGAAGTTGGGTCTTAAATATGAAATGAATGCGACGGATGGGGGGCGTTGGGAAAAGTTTGAAAAGCAGGAAAAGCTAATTGCGTTTTGGAATGGCAAAAGCTCCGTTCGGCAATTGCCAATTTGGTTCAATCAAGAGCCGGAAAGCATGCAACACATTTTTACTGATTGCGGCGCTGACGCTGCTGCTGTCGATGGCAGTGGCATCGCACAGCCTGCCTGCCAATGCCGCACATGCTGACTGCAGTTAATTACAAAACTGTCAAATCCAAAAGGTGCCACGAATCAACGAGGCAGCGAGGAAGCCCGGCAGCCAGGCAGCCAGGCAGCCAAGCAACCAGAGAAGGAACGAGGAGGGCACCACACAAGCAGCGCGAACTCACACACACACACGGAGGGCTGCCACAAGCAGCAGCAGGTCACACAAGCAGAGATGGGGCAAGCAAGTGTGGGAGTGAGCCACAGAGAGGAGAGAGAGAGAGTAAGCCAAATAGGCAGATCACCCAACAGCTGCCGAACAAACAAAAAACCAACAAAACAAAGGCTGCAGCAGGACCGGGGGCAAGGCAGGGATTGGAAGTTGCATTGTGTGAAGTTTTTGTTGTAGGTGTGTGTGTGTGTGTGTATGAAATATAATTCTGCCGTATTGTTGTATTAAATGATGTCAACAGCAGCCGTCCAGCAGAGCACCAAGTCTAGTCTGAGTCTACACTCGGCAGTCGAATGCCCGGGACCAAATCGAATTTAATTGCATTGCCGCCGCACGTTGGCTTTTAATTAATTTTTGCTGCCTTCTGCTGCTGCTGCTGCTGCTGTAGGACCCAAAAAAGGCCAAAACCAAACAAACTAAACACACACACAGAGGCACATACACAGTCGAAGCCCGACAGGGCAACATCAAACGTCATGCACAGGTGCAATGTAATTAGCACGAACTGACATCGCTGGCCAAGGACCACGCGGAGTCGTGGATCGAGAGGGGGGGGCCGCCAGAGCGGGTGTGCTGTGGGTGCGGGTGGAAGTTGCAGTGGCAGTGGCAGCATGAAACATAAAAACAAAAGCAAGCAAAACCTTTAAGCCCAAATGCATACAAGCAAAAGCGAGGCGAGTCGAGGCGAGGCGGCCAGCAGCAGAAGCAGAATGCAGCATAGTCGAATCTAAGTTACTCTAAATATTATTTGGTTTGGTTCTCAAATAATACAACTGGATCACTGCGTCTGAGAGTAGGCAACAAATAATGAAAATTAAATTAAAAATGTGCACACAAATAAATCAAATATATTTCCCCATCCTGTTGCCAAACTATCGTCTGAACTGGATTCATTGAAGCATACCCCATTTTTCCGTTAGTGTACAGCAGACGGCAGCCAGCAGCCAGTAGCCAGCATAACATTGGTGCCCGTTTGGTAGTAGCTCCACTGGCAGCGTTTTAATAGCTTCGAAATTCCAATGGCAGCTGTGGCGCCTTCGCCATAGCCATCGCCATCGCCATTCCCCTGCCTTCGCTTGGTTTGCCTTGCCTTGCCTCCTGTGTCCCTCCATCGGAAAGCTTTCTAAATGAGCCCAAAGAGGAACAGAAAGGAAGGCCAAGACCAAGGAGCAACAATGCCAGCCGTGCCTGACGATGTTCGTCGAACATTTTGAAAATATATTGAACATTTTTTAATTTTCCCACTTACGCAGGGCCGTTGCACGCGAAGTTAACATCTGCTGGCACTGCAGTTGCAGTTGCAGTGGCTGCTGTTGTTGGTTTTATTGTTATTAGCTATGCGAACGCACGAGCATTCATGCATTCTGCGCCCACAACTGCCATTTTGTTTATGACATCGACGATGGCGTCGCGAAATACGGAAATGAGAGCAAAAAGGGCGTTTGGCAGCTGCTGCCTTTGCTGATGCTGCTACTGGTGCAACTTTATTGGCATATTTGGTAGAGAGAGAGAGAGAAAGCCAGAACCTGCCACACATTGTTGATTGGGATATCTGGAGATATATTTACAGTTGGCAGGTGTGAAAACACAAACCAATTAAGATGCAGCAACATCTTGTAAGTTGTATTTAGATCGGGGAAAGGGTTTCCTCCCGTTTCCCCTGCCTTGCCTTTCGCCTCGTTTAACATTCTTGCCACACTCCGAGTGCAACCATGCTGCACCCTCAACCTTCGCCCCACCAATGGCCCCCCTTTGGGGTGAAATGGTGCTCAGCTTTGTTTGCCATTTCTTCGTTTTTTATGATTGCCTGCCACAACTTTTTCGCCATTGCCATCGACATCGATATTGGTGGCCGTCGACGACGACGACGACGACGCTGCGTTGCGTTGCAGCAATGCGCTGCCTGCGGTTGCCACAACGATTCCTTGTTGTTGTTGTTGCTGCTGTTGTTGCTGCTGCTGGAGCCGTTGTTTTGTATGGATTTTGCACATCGTTTATCTTAGACGACGGGCAACGGAGTCGAGTCGCAGCTGCCGCCAGTGAGCGGAAATGGCGTTAATGTTGCAACAGCAGCAACTGCAAAAGTAGCAACACCAACACCAATACCAACTCCTGCAGCAACAGTAACAGCAACAGCAGCTGCCAATGAGCGAGAACTTAATCTTGGGGATTTAACACTTTCGATATATCTTGCGGCGATGCTGGAAGCTGGATGCGGGATACTGGATACTGGATAGCAGCGGCAGCGGCAGCGGCAGTGGCAGTGGCAAAGGAGTGGCATCTTCTGGCCGTAAAACGTATTGGCGCCCATTATCGGTTAAGCTCTCACTTTATGGCCGAGAAACGCGCTCGGCTTTCGGGGTGTTCGGCCCAGAAGCAATGATGCTCTTCGCCATCTTTGGCATCAGTCGTTGGTTTAGTGGTAAAAGTACAATTGGACATACGAAACATTCAATTTCTTACATTAATAAAAATAATCAGCGGACGGGGCAGCTCGGAGCTCACAGTCCCGCCGTTCCCGCTCGCAGGGCCTTATATTGATCCCTGCTCAACTGCCTGTAGACCCCATCGCGGTTCAGGTAGTATATTGGATCCGATAGCCTGGTCAGGTCGTAGCCCTCAGTGGCCAACTCGCGCTTCTTCAGCTTGAAGGTGGCCGTGCGCGGAATCTCGTCCAGCAGCCGTATGAAGAGGGGTCGGGCGTAGGGCGGCAGGCTGCCCCTCAGCACAATCGACAGATACTCCATGTCCACTTTCCGATCGGGATCCACAATCGCTGCCATGCCAGCCTTGCCCTCCACATGGGGAATCTGCAAAGATAAGGAGTATTTACAATCACATTTAACGGGTTATCAGGGTGACGTGACGGCGACGGTGACTCAACTGGGTGGCGGATTTCCCGCCAGAACATGCCGCGCCAAAGAGCTGACTCACCTGCACGCCATAGACCACACAGTCCTCGAGGCCAACGCAGTTCGTTATGATGGCCTCCACCTCTTGGGTGGCCACATTCTCGCCCCGCCAGCGGAAGGTGTCGCCCGTGCGATCCTTGAAGTAGAAATAGCCGAGTATGTCGCAGACCACCATGTCCCCGGAGTTGAAGAAAACGTCGCCCTTGGCAAAGACATTCCGGAGCAGCTTCTTCTCCGAGGCGCCCTTGTCCGCATAGCCGTGGAAGGCGCTGACTGCGCGTCGGGGATCCACCTTGCCCACCAGCAGACCTGCCTCCCCGGGCCGGCATCGGATGCAGTGGCCACGTGGGTCCTTCAGCAGCTCCCCCGTCTCCTCATCGCAGCGCAACACCTGGACGGGATAGATCCTCTGGCCGTAGATGGGCACAAAGCCAATGGCTCCCACGCGGTTCGTGATGTTTATCAGGTTGGAGTTGCCTTCAGTGGCGCCGTAGATCTCGCCTATGTTCGGCACGGAGAAGCGGCGCACGAACTGCGACCAGATCTGCGGCCTCAGCCCGTTGCCGTACATCAGGCGGAGGCGGTGATGCTGCTGCTCGGGAGTGTAGGGCGTGGCCAGCAGGTAGCGACACAGCTCCCCGATGTACTGGGCCACGGTGCAGTCGTTGCGGCTGCAGTCGAGCCAGAAGTTCTTGGCCGAGAACTTCTTGCGCAGCACCACCGTCGAGCCGTTGAGCAGGGCATTGCCCACGCCCACAATTCCTCCGGCAGTGTGGTAGAGGGGCAGGGGATTGTACACCACATCGTCGCGTTTCAGGCGCAGCATGTAGAACGTTCCGGCGGCCATGAACAGGAAGCGGAGGTTGGTAATGACAGCCGCCTTGGGCAGGCCCGTGGTGCCGGATGTGTACACATAGAGCAGCTTTGAGCGCGCCTCCCCTGCTGAGGAGGAGGGAGGCAGGGCCATGGCCTGTTGCGTCGTCAGGGCAGCACTTAGATCCACGGCTCCTGGCAGTAGTTCATGCCCAGGGAGGGTCCTCAGCTCTTCACCGGTGTACTGATAGACGGGAATGCGAGGCAGCTGCTCCTTCTCGATCAGCGATTGGACGACATCCATCAGCTCGCTTCCGAAAACGAAGGCCTTGGCATTGGCCACCTTGACAGAGTGCAGCAGCGACTCTCCCCGCAGATTGGAGTTGATCAGAGCCGTGATCACGCCCAACTGCGAAAGGCCGAGCCAAATGCAGGGATACTCCAGGCGCGTCTCCATCAGCAGTGCCACACAGTCGCCCCGCTGCAGTCCCTGCTGCTTGAAGAATGCGGCAATCTTTTCGCTGAGCAGCAGGGCCTCGGCATAAGTGATCCTGCGATCGTCCATGACAAAGCAGGCCTTTTGGGGCTGCGAGCGGGCCAGTTGCTGGAAGCATCGCGCTATGGTGAAGTTCCCTCGGTCCCGCTTCAGCAGATACAAATTGAGGGCCAGGAAGCGCTGCAGAGCCCTGCAGGAGGAACCGCTTAAGTAGAGCAGATTGTTGTCGCTTTCAAGGCATACTCACATGGTGTCCCTCTTTGCTGTCATCACCAGGGAAAACACAAATGTGGTACTCCGCAGGAGCAGAGCCAAGAGCGCTACGAAAATGAGACTGGCTACGGCACTATCGCCACAGAAGCAGACATAGACCAAAGATGCCACAAGCAGAGTGCCCAGACGGGTGGCAAGCTTCTGCTTCACGTTGAGCTCCAGCTGAATCTCCATTTTCTTGCCGCCAGCAGCCTGCTGGTCGTCCTCCTGGTCGCCGTGGTCTCCGTTCTCACTCACTGCAAATGCCAAATCCATAATAAGCACTACGTTCAGATGACAGTAATGGCAAAGCCCGATAAATTCCACCACAATATCACCTGACACCAGACCATAAATCCCTACACACCCTTCCACTAACGCCTAGGGCAACCGTCTAGCACTGACTGAACAATCACTAAGTGATAGTGGGCCCCTGATAGGCGTGACTCGGCGCCTCACTGATAGCGATTGAGTTAGTGGATCGCAAGTTCTTATCAATGCTGTGGGCAATGCATGGGGCAGATAAGTGGACAAGGAGTGGGTGTGGGGTATTGACTGGGCGTCCTATAATAGCTGGGGCGTGAAAAGTCGCACAAATGTGGAAAACACACTGTGATACAGGGTTGGGGAGCAACAGATTGTCGATCATTGAAATGGAACGAATCAGAACCGCTACTCATATTACAAAGGTAGTAATAATAATTATTATGCAGCCGACTGGCAACGAGTCTGGTTTTCCATTCACACAAATGCACGTATATGGAACTGGGAAACCAGTTAAGGTATACAGCTTATAAGCTTTATACTATAAGCTATTACGTGACCCCTTTGCTTGGGAAAAGCGCTAATTGGCTCGTATTATATTCACTTAACTTTGCCGACCTAACCTAATGGCTTACTCTAAATGATATTGCACGAAGGGGCAGATTAGTCGCAGTCTGCCGGCCTGGTAACCCCCTTGGCGTGGAAACTTTTGCGCTTCAATGAGAGTGAAATCTTAACTATACGCCATTAAGATTAGCTGCGTCTGAAAGTGGAGTGGGTGTTATCGGCGTATGAGAACTGCACTGAGAGCCATTGAACCTGCGACCGATCACAAAGCAGCTGATATCATATCACACTGGGGTAGGCAGGCAGCTAATGGTTCAGATGGCAAAACACTTGCCAGGTGGGACACAGGAAGGTGCAGCTTTTCTCACCCAAGAATGAGTGATAAAACGAAGAGAAAAACTGTCACCACGGGGTGCAAGCGTACCCCCGGTTTACAAATTACTTTGGTCACATTTTCTGATGCTGATTCTATTGCTTGAAATTGGAACAGTTTTTGTTTGTTTTGGCACAGAGATTCCCTTCATAGCGTTCAACGAAGCTATAACGAGGCAGCACGGACCGGAGACAAAGTTCATTGCTACTCGCGAAACTTCCAGTATGGACACGCGCCGCTCCATCTCTATTACGAACCCTATGTTTGCTGTTTGGCTTGCTGTGTGTATGCGATCGGGTGGCGTCTATGCTGGGACCTTGACTTATTTCGTATTCCGATCACAGATCGCTACGCACTTCTTGGCACTGCCTTCCGCGCGTTACGTGTGCTGTGCCCATGGCCTGCGGTTCTATGGTGTCTACGAGTAAGTATTATTCCATTTACACAATAGTTCTGAACGGTGGTTCGTGGTTGTCAGCGTGTCAGCCCCCGCCATGATCAATGCAATTCACTTTTCAATGTCAGTGCAGCGCCTACTGTGTTTCTGTTTGTGTTCTCTCTTCACTTCTCTGACATACTTTTTACTGCAAAAGCGCCAACGCCGACGCCAACGGTTCTTTCGGAAAAACAAAAACACGCAAACGAAAATAACACGCAAACAGAGATCGCGAATCCGATCTGTACGGACGGCTGCGGATCGTGGAATTGAGCAAAACAGCGGCCTGTCGTCGTTCTTTTATAAGCGAAGCCGTTGCCCAGAGTGTGGGGAGAGAGTCGCTCTCTCTCGAGCGTAAGCTCCAAAGTGGGAGAGAGAGAGAGAGAACCCGCAGCATCAAAACAGTATGCCCAAGGCATATAAATATGTGGTGTGGCTTCTTCAAAGATCGCTCTCGCCAGAGAGAGTGAGATTGGTAAATAGAGTAAAAGAATGGAAGAGTATGAAGGCCTCACTTTCCACACGTACACCTTGGAGAATGCTACCTAAGACTGCTAGCACTAACCTTTGGAAATACCTAAATAAAACACTCTTTGCGGGTCCAAGCACCAGCCGTAGCATTTGTTACACCCTTGAGAAATGTTAATCACTTGGAAATCGAATGCAAGCTTCAAAGTTTTTCCATTTCCCCGAACACCCGATTGACTGTTAGCACGTGTTGCAGCACCTGCTAGCATTTTCCGGCCAGCAGAACATTTCTACCATTCTCGCTGGTCGAATTTTTTTAATTAAACATTTTTTATATGCCCATGCAGCGATGAAAAAACAAAGCCCAAAACCAATTTGTCGCTGCCCCAACTTCTGCCCCTTGAAGAAATGCCTATGTCAAAATAAATTAACATAGAGCAGCGCAGCAGCAGCAGCAGCAGCAGCAGCGGCTGGGACGCCGTCAGCGTCGCCTAGCTGTCAAATGCCGGCAGCCGAAATATAAAAAATATGTGCATACTTTCGGGCGCGCATATAAAAAGTGTGCGCATACTTTTGGCAGCTTTTGAGTTATAGACGGTGTGAGGGCGAAACTAAGTGAGCGAATGCATGTGTGTGTGTGCTGAGTTGCGATTGTGGCAGTGTGTGTGTGTGGGAGTGCCTGTAATTGACACATGTTACGCGCACAAAAGCGGCACTGGCAGCGGCAACTCCCGACCCCCAGGACTCCATTCCGTCCATCGTTATTATCGACAATGGCGCCGCCAAAAACACACTCTCATTCGGCTCTCTCTCTCTCTCTCTCTGTCTCTGTCTCGCGTGTTCTCCCTGCTCCCCTCCGCCCCATACACTCGCATGCCTTTGCTGCACAGCCTTCAAATGCAGGCTCAGAGAGAGAGCGAGAGAGAGAAAGAGAGGCAAGGCAGCCTCAGTCAACTTTGTTTGTAGCCGGCAAAAACAAAAACACAAACACAAACACACACACACACACACACACACATACATACAGGGCAGGGACAAGGGCAGACACAGAGCACCGCTTGCTGATAACGTTACCGTCAGCTGTGCGGCACTTTGGGGCAGCACACGTGAGTTCTGGCTGTGAGTCTGAGTCTGGTTTCGGGGGATGGGGATGAGGATGAGGGCAGCCCAGCCCAGCCAGAGTCGTGCGCAGGCAAGCGTCAAACGTTTTGTACCTTGGACCCCCAGGCGACATTCACCTCGCCTCGCCCTTTGCACCGCCCACCCCACTCCCTCCACGCACTCACTACGCCTGGCATTTGTTTGTGTTGTCAACAAAAGTTTCTTTGAAATCAGTAACAGATGTCGATTGAAATGGCACAATTGCTGCCTGCGTCGCTGCCTCTGCTCTGCTCAGCTCAGCCCCGTCCTGTGGCCTGGCCATGCTCTGCTCTGACGTGGGCCCTGCTCTGGGTCTGGGTCTGTGTCTGGTGGAGCATCGCATCGCCGGGGCGCCCGGCACTTATGATGAATATTTTTATGCCAGACACAACAGGGCCCAAGATATGCCCGAGCAGCGGGCACATTGTGCGCTAGTGGCCTGTCACATTTTAATTAAATTCTGTGCTCAAGTTTAAATGTTAATGCATTGGCATCGATGGAAGCTGCAAAAACAATGGGCGCACATTCAGTCAGCATGCCCGGAAATTCGGGGTAGGGTATACTACATATCTGCTAGGAAGGGAAACCGAAGGGTATGCCTTTGTCCTCCCCACTTTATAGAGTATCCTGTGTACCCCACCGCAGGCTGCTCCCCTTCAGTGTCCTTCTATTGACAACGGACTCTGTGTCTCTCCCAATCTTTGTGTTTGTGTGTGTGCAACCGGTCGAGAACGGAGCGCCTTGTGGCTGCTGGCGATAACAAACGATAACTGCATGTTAAATAGAAGCTAACGAAAGGCTAGCCCGCACAGAGAGAGGGCTGACAGCATATGCAAGTTGGACCATGGACGATGGACGTGCAGCCATTTCAATGTGTCCCTGCAGATCCCAGCGGAAGTTGTTAGAGTGGGGAGTGGGCGTTGGGGGCATGGGGGGCTTTGGGAAATCAGTCAGGTAGCAAAATGCCATCATCATCATCATCATTGTTGTGGGCTGAAGGGTTGCTAAAAAGCGCACAGCATCGAGACAAAAGCAAAGTTAAGGCAAGCTGCTGTCTGTCTGTGTGTCTCACTGTTCCTGCATCTGTATCTGTGTGTGGGTGGGTTAGCAGCCGCAAGGCAATGTGTGCGTGTGCAACAAATGTTGTGGGTGTCCTTTAGCCAGGAGAAAAAGACAGAGATAGAGAGCGGGTGAATCGTGTGGGTGTGGGTGTGGGTGTGGGTGGTGGTGTAGACGGGGTCTAACGAGCTTTTACTTGCTGGCTTGCAATGCGACAGCAGCAGGTGTGCCATGGCCATGCAGGCGGACACCCGCAGACACACACGGAGGCAGGGCCACAGCTGAGTGACGATAATTGAAATTTCATCACAGTAGTTTGTGGTTTTGTAGCACTCACACACACACCAACCATTCACATGCACATGCTCCATATATGGAGACGCTGCCACTCACACTAATGCGCAATTCATGGCGGCGCCACATCGGAATGTAATTTTCTAATTCGGATATATATTGAATTTGGTTTGGTTTGGTTTGGTTTTTGGGTCTTTTGTTTGGTTTAAAACACTTTATTTCTTGGGTTTTCTCTTTAGCCTTTTGCTGGTTTCGTTTTTGTTTTTTTTTTTTTGTTTTTTTGTAGATGCAACATTTACGTGGTTTGTGTCGTGTCGTTTATGGTAAAAGTACATTAGGTATTAGTTTAAGAGATACAATAAATACTAATCAATAAATTAAATACAATCAATAAATTAGCCATACATATGTATAAGTATGTGTAGTCATATCATAATAATATACGAGTGCTCGTACTTTATTTTAATGTAATAATAAAATCTACTATGTTCAGTTTCTGGTTTTTCTTTCCATTACGTGCTTTGGGGTTGGGTTTGAGTTTTGCCTAAGTACTTACAGACCTACTTTCGTATTTCTTTACGCTTTATGCTTTACGCTTTATTCTTGATGCTTTATTCTTTTACTGCTTTGAGAGTTGTGGAGCCTTGAGTGTGGATAACATTTAATTGTCTATATAATATTTTTTAAGTTATTCTTCGCTTGCGATCTCTAAATGTGCATTAGGTGAACTGAAGAAGTGTGAGAATTGTGGCTGATTCCCCTTGTGGTGTGTAGTGGATTACCCTTTTCGATTCCGTGCGGAATGCCCTTTATAAATTCATCTAGAGGTTCGGCTACTCCCCTCTGTCCTTAGACCCCTCCTACACTAATTGTTGGCCGCAAGAAACATTTAAATGTGAAATTTTCTTTTGTCCACCCACGCACATACCTATGTATGTATGTATGTATGTATGGAGTATCTGGAGTATCTACGGTTGAGCTCTCCTACTTCCTGTATCTTTAGTTGAGTTTACAAATCTATTTGCTGGCAATTTATTCTTCTTGCTTTTCTTGGATAATGGATAATAGTAACTGCATAATTATGTATGTAAGTGTGTGTGTGTGTGTGTGTATATGGATTATCTGGGCGACCTCTGACCCCCCCGTCCCCACATCGCACCCCTATAATTTGACTAGCACAAGTACTTCTTCTTGGGTTTCATCATGCGAATGCGTCATTTGGAGCCCAACCCATTGGCCACCAATGCACTGGGCGTGGTAGCGCCCACAGCTGCAGCCCCCGCATTGCCACCGCCAGTTCCTCCGCCCACTGGGCCAGCAACAATTGTCTCACGGGCACCCGCCGCCGCTGCCGCCGCCGCCGCCTGCAGATGGGCTGACGGGGTGGGCGTGGGTGGGGATCGAGTGGCCATCGCAGTGCGGATACTGCCGGCGGGGTGCAAATGCTTGGCACTCATTTCGCTGGCCCTGGTGCTGCCACAGACCTGTAAGACAGAAGAGGAACGGAACGCAAAACAGTGTTAAGGTTAGATGTCAAAGGGAAGCGGGCAGGGAGTATGGCAGGGTACACCAACCTGGTGATGGCTATCCCAGTCTCTGTACTGGCACGAGGCGCTGCAGTAGCGAGCCATGTTGCAGCCCGAGCAGGTTTCGGTGGCCTTGCGGCCGCAGTTCCAGCACTGCTGCTGCAGAGTCCCGTTCTGGAAAGCGGGGGAGGGACAACTTTTGATTAGGGAATAACTTGACTGCGGAGGAGAGGAGACTCTACACCTACATTCTGTGGCGTGGTGATCGACGGCGACTTGTTGTCCAGATCCCGTTCGCCGCTCGAGTGGCGACTCATTTCCATGAAGAACTTCTCCATGCGCAGCCGCTCCTGGGTCATGATCTCCGCGGCCCGCGTTTCGGCAGCCACCACCGCCCGCTGGATCTCGATTACCGCCTGCCGCTTCACCTGTGCGTCACATGGAAGAGAGTTAGAGGCGTACATTTAGCATGTGGAGTATGGGGAGGGAGACCCACCTGGGTGACTGCGTCCTCGGCATTCCGCTTGAACTCGGACACTTTCTCCTCTGTTTGGCGACGCAGTTCGGCGAGAGCCGCTGGTGTTATCTCCTGGCCGCTGTTGGGATGCTGCGGCTCGATGCCCCGCTGCTGGAGGATCGTGATGGCGCGCTTCGTCTTGTCCACCATGGCCGAGATGCAGTTGAGCATTGTGTGGATGTTCTTCCACTCCTCCTCGCCCCCTGCAGCGCCTCCCGAAGCTGCATTCGGGTTGGCATTGGGGTTGGGATTGGGGTTGGCCTGTTGATTCGGATTCGGATTGGAGTTGGGATTGGGATTGGCAGCCCTCTGTGGAGGAGCCGGATGGCGCAGCTCGCGCTCGTCGCGCTGCATGAAACCAGCCGCCGAGGGCACACCCTCAGCCACGGGCAGAGTGTAGTCGCCGTAGGCCATGACCGAGTGGGCGGGATGCATGGCCATCCGCTTGTTGGGCGGAGGGGGATAGCCGGAGGCGGACAGACCCCCGCCGCTGGCCATGTACTCGCTCCACTCCTGCAGGCCGTTGTGGCCGCCGTGCTCCATCATGGAGTCCGAGGATCGGCGCTTGAAGACGGCACTGCCGCCGGCCCCGTTCGATGTGGGCGCCTCCAGCTGGACGAAGATGTCGCCGAACTCTGCACCGAACTCCATCACCGCCTGCTCGTTGTTGGTCACGTACTGGAGGGCGGACTGGTTGGTGGCCCGGGCCAGGGCCAGGATCTCGCGCTGCATCAGGGTCACGCTGTTCTTAAGCAACGGCATCACGTAGGGTCGCAGGGGCAGGTTGATGGCCTCCTGCAGGGCCAGGCGGAACTCCTCCAGCGAGATGGTGCCGCAGCACAGCGACAGGATCAGGGCTCGCACCCGCTCGCACACTTCCGGCTGGCCCAGCTCCTGCGAGAAGTGCAGCAGGGCCCCGAGGAACTTGCGCATCTTGGCCACGAGTCGTGCCTGCTCCACGTGGGCCGCTGCTGCGGCGGCGGCGGCGGCTGCAGCTGCCAGGGAGGCGGCATGCTGGGCCCCCGGAGTGGGCGAGGTTCCCGAGGAGCCCACTCCCCCGTTGACCACGGGCGAGACGCTCGCATTGCGCTGCGGTCGATGGTGCAGCTGCAGGGGCGAGTGTGGGGACCGGGGGGCGAGACTGCGCGCGGAGTCTGGCGGGGAGTCGGGTGGAGTGCGACACAAGCGATCTGCCGCTCTCTCCCGCTCCCGCTCCCTGTCCCTGTCCCTGTCTCGACTACTGTGGGATGTGCAGTTGCTGCTGTCCTTGCTGCTGCTCGACGAGGATGAACTCTTGTCCCCGTTGCTGCTGCTGCTGCTGCTGTTGGCTGTGCGAAGGAGAAGATAGTACAGCTCGTTAGTTGTGTGTTAACAATAAACAAGAGAAACAAGTCCAGGTCCAAGTCCTAGTCCTGGACAAAACACACACTCGAGTGCAACTTATCACAGGATGTGCAGCCCAGGGGCATTACAAATGCATTAGCAAGGAACTCGGGAAGGGTCAGGGCGGAGTAGGGCAGTGGGCAGAGGAACGGAAGTTGCCACAAATATCTATGTATGTGTATGTGTATGTATATGTATAATATTGCACCGACCACAACATGCTACGGCACTTGTCCTCCTGCCACATCAAGGAAGGGTGCAACAACCAACTGGCAGCATTAACAAATTTGTTTGAACATGGGAAATAAATTAGCAAACATTTTTGGTCCACGTTTCTCTCACTCGTCCTCTGCCTCGTTCTGGTGCGGTCTTCTGTGGTGTGGTCTGCCTCTGCCTCTGCTCTGCTCTGCTCTGCTGTGTGGCATGGCAGGGTTTGGCAGGGTATGGCAGGGTATGGCAGGGTATGGCATGGCAGGGCATGGGGGTGTGGCAAGTCAGGCAAGCAAATCAAGCACCACATAACGCACTAATTGCATGGGAAACGAGGGTGGGGTGGGGTGGGGCTACAGGCAGTGGCTACAACACATTGCGGTACGTGCCGTCCCATCCGATTTCGCCCCCATCCAGGATCCTGCCAAAGCGATGCTGTAGCTCAAAAATGAAAAGCTTAACGCAAATCCGCAATGCGCAGATGGCCGGAGGAGCCGCTGGGACCCAGAGTGCCAGGCGGCAAAGCAATACAAAGGCGATTTGCCTTATAAGTTTAGTTCTGCAGCCCCGATTAATGTTAGTTTTGTTGGGACTTCACTTCGACTCAGAACAGTCATTCCCAAGTGCTCGAAGTTCGGATTCATTTCAATATTTAGTTTCATCGAATAAAAGAGGGAACCTTTTCTGGAAACATTTGTCGCCTGTGCCGAAGCTTTGATGCCCAAACACAGACACACAAACTTTGTTTGCACAAGCTAATGGAAATTGTTTATGGGTCTGTATGTGTGTGTGTGTTTGGGGTGGTCCTCCAGTGGGTGGCTGACAGACACGCTGAGAGGCGAATGTTGCTGCTGACGACGATGATGATGACGATGACGATGACGACAACGACGATGCGATGGCAATGGCAGTCGGTTGATGTTGCCGCTACTGCTGTTGCTTTTGCTACTGCTGCTGCTGCTTCTGCGGCTGCTGCACAGTTTGCTTTTGTGATAATGATTGTGGATACAGCTGCAACTGGGTGTGTTTTCACAGCCATTCAGGCATGCGACCGCCATGCCAATCGAAGGGACACACAGATACAGTGAGGCACACAGCGAGACAGACAGACAGACAGACAGAGAGATATACGAACGGAGATACGCAGCACATAGTCGTAGTCGGGAGGCATCACTCACCCAGTCGGCGGCGCTTATCAAACGCCAAACATAGACAATGATGGATCACATGGACGTCTCCACAGCCCACACTCGCCCACCCAATCCACCCACCCCGTTTCGCTCCGCTCCCTTAATTGGCTGCCAGCCTTCCGTTCCCATCCAACCCGCAACCCGCAACCCCTTCTGCCTATGCTCGCTTCTGTGGTACAATTGTAAAATATTGCACTTGACCGGGCTTAAAAGTTTTTGGTTTGTTTGGGTTCTATTTGTTGTTGTTGTTGTTGTTGCTGTTGCCTTTTTGGAAACCTCAACCGACCAAAAGTTGGTGTCCAGAGAGTCCAGAGCGAGGACCAGACCAGCAGCAGATGTAGCAGCTGTGGGAGCCAAAAACCCACGCAAAACCCAAAAAACTATTTACAAAATTTTTCTGTGTTGACAATTCACATATTTTCTAAAACATAATGTCCAATGGCCACGGGCAGGGATTGGACCAGGGATACGGGATCGGGAACGGGATCGGGAGCGGGAGCGGGTATAGGGTGTGGCTGGGCTCCAACTGCTGGCTCAACATTGGCCCGCAGCATGAGGCTTGCTCCGGTTGTGGCATCGATTTAAGGTTACGTATACGCAGCATGGGCCAGGCCAGGCCAGGCCAGTCCAGGCGGTCGGCATGCGTCTGCTACCACTCTTCCCAAAGAGTCTATATATATGTATGTGTGTGTGTGTGTGTGTGTGTGTTTGTATATGCATGTGTGTGTGTTAGTGTGGGCAACTGAATTTGCACAGCTGCGTCCCATAGATTGCAGTCGAGCGCACAAAACGAAACGTTTGCAAGTTTAGTTTGTTGTTGTTGTTGTTGCTGTTGTCATTGCTGCTGCCACTGCTGCTGCTCCTGCTGCTGCTGCTGCTGGTTGTGGCATAGTCATTTGGGAAAACAATCATTTTGGCAAATATTCATCATGCGCTGTTTGTGGCACAGACTGACGACTGAGATAGAGACAAACAAAAAGAGAGGCAGAGAGATAGAGGGATGGAGAGAGACAGTCAGAGACATCATGAGGTTCGGTTCCCATTGTTGTGGTTTCTCCTCCTCTCTGTTGAACAAAACTTTGCACAAAAATGCTAATTAGCGGACTGAACTTTAAGCGTCTTAAATGCAAAGCGGCCACACATCATTTTCCTTCCCTGGGAATCGCCACAGGTATAGCACACGCACAGGCACAGCAACAGCCACAATAACAGTGGCAATCAAAGCAAAGCACACAGAACGAGGCACATCATCCCCCGCCTACGCCACCACCTCCCCCTCCAGCAGCTCATGCTCGTGCTTTACCACTCCATGCCGCCTAAAAGGCAGGCAACAGAATGTTCGCCTGCGTGCGGGCTGCTGCTGGGAACAATGCCAGCAGCGGTTTCTGTGTTTTTTCCTCTTATTTGGATGGATGGATGGCTGGATGGTTGAGGGGAAGAGAAAGGTTGTGCGTGGCCCACAGCGGGACCTGCTGCGGAGCTGGGGTCTGTGGCTCTGTGGCTCTGTCGCTCCGACTGAGGTTGTGGCCCCTGCGCAGAGACCAATCTCCAATGCTCTCTGCTCTGTGGACAGAGGGACGGGAAGAGAGTGTGGATCCACACTCAACGCAGCTTATTCTGTAGCTCTCCTTTCATTCCGTATACACACTTTAAGGAGGACAGGCTCCCTTCTGCCACAACAATATCACCGAGGAGGCTGCACCCACCGCACAGACACACAGCTGCTGCCATTCACACCATCAATCGCCCGAGCCGTCAGCTGGTCGAGCAGTCCGCTTCTGTGCACCCAATTGAACGCCTTAAAGTATGCTCCATTCCACTTCCATTCTACTCACCTTTAAGCCTTCGGCAAATGGCCGCCGCTGTGGCTGCTGTTGCTGTGTTGTTGGTTGAGGCAGCTGCTGCTGACGCTGCTCCCGTCACCGCCGTCACCACCACGGACGATGATGATGACGATGACGCGGGTGGCACCTGAACACCTGCTGCTGTGGCCACCGCCAAGGCGGCTCCAGCTGCCACCGCTGCCGCCGCCGCTGCGGCTACGTCATATGAGTCCTTGTCGGTAATCTCCTCCTTAATTATCGCTTTGCCATCGAGCGCCATCTGGAAATAGTCGAGCAAATTAGTTGAGAAATATAAGCCGCAGGAAGGAGGGCCTGCGAGGACTGCGAGGACTGGGAGGACGAACGAGAACCCGCCCACGCCCAACTAATTCCCCCGACAGACTGCACGGGTTCCCACAGCGGCGGCGATAGACAAAAACATCAAGTGACAAAGTTCTCACATTATGTTTTCAACTTATTTGATTTCAATTTGATTAAATGGTTGTCTGACATGCAAATTGGGTGCGCCCGCACACAGAAGTCCTTGGACTCCTGGCCAAATGGGGAGCCAACAGCAGCTGTCGGTTTAATGTGCCTAAACGGCTTCCCTTCCATCAAAGGCGAGAATGTACAAAACACATTTAAAATTAATGCAAAAGACATTGAAACTTCGACTATATGGAAAGTCGACTCTAGCGACTATATTCCTATGAATGATTCGCTCTGTAAGCTCAAATCACAACATTAAATGTACCCCCATTCCCCCAAATATTTTTGTATTCTTCTATTTAATTTTCAACAAATGGGAATTCTTTGAATATTTTTCTGCCATCTAAAAGAATTGAAAGCAATTTCCCCACCATCCCATTCAGCAGCTGCGCACAGTCCACACGCTGTGGACACCTGTTCCGTAATTGAGTTGAAGAACTTTTCCCTGCAGACTCTGCCGCGCCTTCGACTCAATGAATTTCCATGGTGAACTCTTGGCAGTTCGTCCGTTCGTGCCGAGGAAAACTCGATTGCTCTATTGGATGGTGGTGGCCTTGCTAATTGACTCAACAAATGCGCTTCCTGTTTATTGGCAGTGGCAACTAACCCTTCTCCAGTGCTGCCCACCAATTGGACCCTTCCCCCCCCCCCCCCTGCATACCCCTCCCGGACACAGCATGTTCATGTCCAGAGCAAAACATTTTTCTGTTGATTTTTATCACTAAAATATGTAAATACCTCTGCGGACTGTGGGAGTTTGTGCAGCTTTTCGAGGCAAGCCCCTGCATAAACAAGAGGGTGGTGGGTGGTGGGTAAAAACAACAAGAAACTGAACAGAAGGCTGTGCATGAAGAGTGAATGAGAGGTTGGAAGGGGGTGGTAGTGGGGCATGGGCATGGGCATGGAAACCTGTTCATTTTCATTCATGCTTTCGATCAATCTTTGCGGCCTTTTATTTCGGTAGAGGTGTAAGAATCGTCTGTGGAGGCATCCATCGTGTGTTTAAAGTCCATCGTCGCCGCACTGGCTAATACGTATCCCCCCACTCCCCGCAATTAGTGCCCCAGGGAGGTGGATACAACCCCCCGCCTAACCGCCTAACAGCTGGAGCAGCTGTTTGGCATCAGAGCAGAAATTACACACAGCAAAATGCTGCAAATGAAATGAAATTCTATTGAAAACAAACACTTGACACGGCGGCAGCTGCCGTTTTGCCAAATGACTGCGAGAGATGGCCCACAGATCGGGCCATGTCCCCTGTCCACAGTGCCCCCTATTCAGCATATGGCAGACACAACACTTGTCAACTGTTTTGCGAGGTCTTTTCGAATGAAGTTTGCAAAAATACCAACAAAAGACAATGCATATGCATGTGTGTACAGGGTACACACACAAGCGTGGGGCGGTTGGCAGGGCGGCAGATTAGATGAGGGGCAAACAACAAGTGTTTTCAGGTAAGAGAGCTACTACAGGCACAGGCACAGGCAGAGGCAGAGGCCAAGGAACCCAGCACTGTTCAGCATTGTTCGGCATTGGGGCTGAGTCACTTAATGGCCCCCAACGTTGCCTGCCACCAGCTGCTGCCGCCACTGGCAGTGCCTCCTGTTCCGCCACTGCCACTGCCTCTGCTCTGGCTCTGGCTCTCGCCCTGGCTATGACGAATGAATCAAATGTCAGAAGCAGCCGTGTCGTTGTCGCTCAAGCAGCTGTCGCCTGTCGTCGCCAGAAGGCGCCCCTAGTGCCTCAGTTAACCCCCAGCCAGCTGCCACTCCCCGGCAACCCCACCCCACCCGCTCTGTACCTCCGCAGGCACTTCAAAGAGATGGCAGCCTCACAAGCTTCCATCGCAGGAAAATGGAAAATGTCGCCCGCAGAAGTTTTTCCCACAAAACTTGGGGCAGCTCTGAGGCTGAAGCTGTAGCAGCAGCTGAGGATGGGACTGAGACTGAGGCTGAGGCTGATGCTGAGGCAGCGTCTGTGTGGCAGGGGGACTGGGGCTTCGACGGCTGCTGCTGCTGCTGCTGGCGAAATTGCCAAGAGGAAAAGTAATTATTTAAACAGAGACGGCAGCAGCGGCAGCAGCGGCAGCAGCAGGCACAGTGGGCTGAAAGACTCAATTAGTGATATGTTCAACCACAAACTGCAACAGAATTTGGACATTATACCTGCCATTACGTTTAGAATTTATTAATTTACAACCTGACAATTTTATTAATTTCTTTTCAAAGCATTTATCTTTTCCATTTGCCACAGTGTCCACTCACTACGGGGGCGGGGCGAGGCAACTACTTGACAAGTGGAAAGCTACAGCAAAACACAAAGCAATTTCCCGGGATAATTTTCAATTAGGCTCGCAAAGAGCATAAAAAAACAAAAGAAAATTCTTAAACGACATTCATTTAATGCTGTGGGCAGGAGAGGGCAGGAGAGGGCAGAGCCATGTGCTGGACACCAAAGCATTTTATACTTTTATCCCTTTTGCTAACAAAAACACACCCAGATGTGGATGTGGATGGGTCAAGGGGTGCAGGGCGGGGCAGGGCGGGACAGAGTGTTAACGAAAAGGCGCGCCAACTGTAATAACAACAACAGAAGCGTTAACGCTGCTGCGGAGGCAGGAGACGGATGGAGAAGCAGAGAGCAGTGCCACAAGCAGCAGTTGATGGCCAGCCCCAGAATGCGGTGGAGGGAATGAAAATGCTGGAAAAATCACAGCACAGCTGCATGTGCTTTTCCCGTAAGCTGCCCGACGACGTCCACAGCCACGTCCCAGGTCCAGGGCCAGGTCCAGGGCCAGATCCTGCCTCTTCATTCACATGTGCCTGTGCCTGTGCCAGTGTGTGTGAATGACAACCCACTCGAATGCCGGACGCCGAGCACTATGTAGCGTTGTTTCTGCAGCTCTGCGGAGTCCGCATTGTGCGTCATTATGCGCAAGTGGCGCCCCAATCCTGGGAGAGATTACTGGCGGCGACACCTGTGCAACAGCAGCAGCAGCAGACGAGCGAGCCCCACGTCTGCATATGTGTGTGCGTACGTGTGAGAGTGTTTTACAGTTAAAAACTTTTTTGCAAGTCGCTACGTCAGCTGCTTCATTACACTGTGTGAGGGGAGGCGAGGCAGGGGAGGCAGCAGCTCTACAAATGTACGTATGCTAGATGAGAGAGGGGCTGGCAGTGTGTGGCAGTGTGTGAGGGAATGGGTTGGGTGAGAAGTTCCTGGGAAGTTTTTAATTAGACGAGCCCTGGCGGTGGGACGAAGGCCACTCCCAGGGTGATAATTAACGATTCAATGCTGTAATTTACAGCTAATGAATGGGAGAATTGTACAACACTTTGCTTTGATGTGAAACTATTGATTTGGTTTACTTCCTTATCGAATTGGAGCGAGTATCGATTGGTATCTAGTGAATATGGAAATGCTTGTAGTTTGCAATATATTCTAGTGAGCTTTAACTTACATATATCAGTAAATTCATGTATTTTTCAGTATTAAATAACAGTATATTTCCGTATTTTTTGCATAGCTATATTTAAGGCTTATTTAATATAAATTCTATTAAAAACCAGCGACCAATCAGCATATTCTGTGGCAGCCCTCGTCAACTATTTGCTAAAGGCCTCTCAGTCGTGCAACGTGCCGCAGCATCGGCGTCATTTCGAATTACACATCACGCGCACACACAGAGGCAGAGGCAGACAAACGGACGGACGGAGAAACATACAGACATACAGACGGCAGCATAAGCGGTGGCAACATAAACATTTTTGCACTACTCGCCGCACGTGTGAGTCTGCCACACCACTCCACTCCACTCCACTCTCTCCTGCTGTTGCTGTTGTTATTGCCTGCTCCTGCCTCTCCGTTCACCCTTCATTTGCAGCCTGTGTGGGGCATAATAAGATAATGGCTTGTCAGAGAGCAGCAACAGCGGCACGGCAGCAGCCTCGGGGGGAAAAAACAGTTGAACGAGCGAGTGTCGCGCTTAATCGGCTTTATGGTCTGTTTTATTTCCGATATGAACTGCTTTATGTCCAGAGTGCGCGAGTGCGAACGACAGGGAGAAATGTGGAATGAGAGAATGAGAGAAGGGGTGAACTAAATTGGAGAACATTTGCCTGCCACATGTTGCCCACAAAATGTATTTAGTCATCCCAATTATGCCACATCCAGCAGCTGATGGCCGCCAGCTGCTGCTGCTGCTGCTGCTGCTGCTACTCTTCTTGCCTCCAGCGATGCATGCAATTTTCCCAAAAGCCAAACGGGGCCTTGCTGCAATTGAAGATTTTCCAGCTGCCTCAGCTTGTTTCCCGTCTGATTGGAAAATCATTTTGTAGCAGCTTTTGCAGCAAGCAGCACGTGGCACTGTGCAAGTTTCGGTGCCGTGTCTGTGTCTGTGTCTGAGGCAGGGCAGCCAAGTTGTCTGCTGCTGGCAGCAGCAGCAGCAACAGCAGCAACTACAACTACCACACAGTGACTGTGGCAGAGACGAGACCAGGCAGCAACTGCTGGCAACACATGGTGGCACGTGTCGACGTTGACGACGGCTTTTGGCCATGGCTGCACTAGACAGCAGCGGCAACAAGAGCAGTGGCTGCTGCTGCTGCTGCTGCGGCTGCCACTGCCGTTTTCAATTAAAAATTGCGAATGACAGCAGGTGCTGTTGATGGCTTCTCTGGCTTGCTTTTCCCCTGGATATGTGCACCTGTGAGTGCGGTTGGCTGTGTCTAAGGAGAGCAGAGCAGAGACCTTTCCATTAGCAGCACCTGCGTCCAGGCAGCAACTCTAGGCCTGCGCCCTATCATATACCAAAGCATCGAAATACTAAAGTTTAAACGGAAATACATTGCATTAGATATTGTCGGGGCACAAATCGATGCCCTGGGTGTTGCAAGTAGCCGCCCCCCCATGGCACTGCAGCAACAATCTTGTAAGCTTTTTCTCCTCGTTTTTTTCTTTCATTTTTTTTTGCCGAAATCTGTTGCAGACACTTGAGCCAGCAGCTCAAACAACTGTGGCATGACAACTTACAAGAAGGAACGGACTGGAGTGGCTGATCCGGAGGCAGGAGATGACGGCAGAGGCGATGGGGCAGCTGCTGCTGCTGCTGCCGCTGGCGGGCGCAGTTTTTCAGTCTCCTTCGATGTGGCTGCTGCTGCTGTTTCTGTTTCTGTTCCTGTTGTTGCCCCGGGCATCATCTGTGTTTCATCTGGCGTAAGAAATATTGCGCCAGCTGGGCCAGCTGCTTCATTTTGTCGACGCCCCCTTTTCCCAGGGAGGGGACTAAGTATATCTGCGTGTCAGTGTGTGTGTTCGTGTGTGTGTGTGGCAAGGTCAGCCCTGTTTGAGGCTGGAGATTTAAGGCTGTGGCTGCTGCTGCGGCTGCGGCTGCCGCAAATCCAATTCAAATGCTCGGCGCCAAGTGGGGGCGACAATTTGGTAGCCTGCCAGCAAATGGCGTCTGCGATTGCACTGGACATGCCGTTACTCCTGGACACACAAACTTTTTCTGCGAGGGACAAAATGTTTAAAACATAAGCGGGTGGGGAAACTGGGCAAAAGGATTGCAGATGGCATGGGGTGGGTGTGGACTGTGGACTGTGGATCAGGGTTAATGGTTAAAGCATTGAAACAGATTACGAGGAGGTGTTCAGTAGAGGAGTTGCGGCAGAGCCTTTTGATTTTCCGATGCTAGTATATCCTCAGCGTATATTCTGTATTTGTGCCTGCCGCTGGCAGGACTCCTTTGCCTTTCTCTATTGTTTATACACAAAATGTTCCCTCTTGTATATTCTTTTTTGAACATTTTCCTAGTATGACATTTTTGCGTTTTGCCCCCCAAAAACATTTCGTGCTGCTCTATGGCCCACGTCTTTTTAATAAGCTGCCACTTGCAGCGCCAACAATTCCGGTGGCAGTGGCAAAAGCCACAACAACGAACGAAAACCTCCGAAAAACCCCCAGCGGGGAAACGGATGGCAGCCAGGCGAACAGAAGAACTAGGAGTAGGAAAACGGAAGAGTCGGTGGTAAATCCGAATTTTGTTTTTGACTTTTTCGATTAAGTGTATGCTCTGCAGAGCGGGTAAGGAGAGGGGAGTGGGCGTACCGTTAGTTGCTGTTCTGTGTGTGACATTTTCGCGCTTTTTTAGCTTCCATTTTTCCCGTGCTGCATGCCCCATGCCATGCCCCGTCCTGTGGCCATTCCCCTAAACATCTCTTGCTCTAGGCTTCAGCTCCTATCGCTTCCAATGTTTGCCTTTGAGCTTTGAGGAAGGTTTTCTTTTCTTTTCTTTTATCTGGTTTTGCTTTCCTTTCGTGCGCCGTTACTTTCCGTTCCATTCGTTTGCTTGAGTCTAATAAGCAAATTGACTTATTTCCGGTGGCCATGTTGTTTGTTGTCTCAGCTGTTTCGTGCCGCAAACAAAATGGCGTCTCATTAGTCAATGTCGTCTAGGCGAGGCAAGCGACGAGGCGGCATCTTAATTGCCAAAGGTGTGAAAATCCAAAAACTTTTTTCTGTTTGCTTTTTTCGCTTCTTTTTTTTACGTGTGCCGTGCCGCAAAGTTTGCAGTGCTAATGATTGATTGAGCCCTTGATGGATTGCCGTTTCCCTGGATGGCTGGCTGGCTGGCTGGCTGGATGGTTGAATAAATGCCTGGGCGAGCTGTTTGCTATTCCGGGGCGGGTGTGGTGGAAGGGAGGGACCCAGAGTGAGGCACATGTGGCCCCGGCTAATTTGATGCCAGGCAACAGCTGCATTTGTCATGTGCATTTTCACCTGTGCCACCTGCTGCCTCATGCCGTCTATTACGCTAATAACTTTGCCCTTTTTCGCCGCTGTCCATTTTAAATGCCATGCCCATGGACTTGGTACACATGGTCACTGGCGGCAGGCCCTGCCACACGCCCGGCCCGTCCCAGCCCGTATGCCCCCCTTTGTGTCCTGGGTGGTCCTGCAAATAGACCCGTGCCAGTGCAATGCATTATTCAATAGGACATTGTCGAATGGCTGATTGCCCGATGATTACTGATTAGATGAGGGCCGGCGCTCCGATTTGCCCACGGGCCAAAACAAAACCAAATTGCTGACACACTAATTGAACGGCAGCCGGACTGGAGTGCAGGTCAGATTTGGCTGAAATACGAGCATTGCCTGCATTTGTATGTCCTTACTGGTCAATCGGATTGTACATTATTGATTGTTGAATTAATTTACATTATCGAGCAAATATTTGAGGCAGAGAATTAATTGGTAGAACATGTTTTATATTGAATACCCTTTAGGCTCCTTTTCAGATTAACAATTTTTTAGGGTATCCCCAAATCACAATATTAAAAGATTAACGACTGTTCGATCCATGTTACTCAAGAGCCAGGGAGGGTATCAATCAGTCCAATCCCTTATTACGACATAGTTGGGAATCTTCTTTTCTTTGCTTTTTGCGCTGGCACTGCATTGTTGAATGAACAGCGGAAAAAATGAGAGAACAAAAAACAACAGTACGCAGCGCGGCGAGAGCCTCCAAGCTGTTAAAATGTTTATGCAGGTGTCATGCCTGCATGACAGACACCACACTGAGAGAAAAGGCGAGCAGCGGATAGATCGAGTAGGTACGGAATGGCAAACCGTAACAACAATAGCAACAACAATGATCTGTCAGGCGGTGCGACGGGTAAGGGCAAAAAGGCCGAAAGACAGCTGCCCTCTCACACTTGTTCCGATCTCCCTGCCTTCCCTCTTTCCCTCTTTCTTTCTCTTGCTCTGTCTCTGTCTCTTTCTCTCTTTGTTGATCACCAACTGTGGCAGCTGCAAATCCAAGGCCACAGCTGGCCAGGTGATTCCAGGCTGAGTCATGGCCTGCTCTGGAGTTCTGTAGTTATCCCCAGAATTGAGCGATCTGCTACAGCTGATAATTATGATACGCCCATACTCATACGAGTATTCTGCCTCAATATTTGACTTGTGGGTTTTTCCCCTCGGCATTAAAACATGTGTGACATTGAAAAGAGAATATTATATTAATGGGTGCACTGTAGAAAACAATTTTAGAAGTTCCTACAACATTTAATATTAATAATAATAAGTATTGTATTTAAAGTTTGCATTTGTATTTAAAGTTCGACAAACAAATCAACAGACAAATTTATTTTCCCAGTCTATTATCAACACGGACTCTCCACGGACGACAGCCAGGCCTAAGGATCTGCCCATTTATTCTAATCATTATTCAAAATTTATCTGGAGACACTTTCCGCAGTAAAAGTTTTGGCTTTCGGGCATTTATTTACAACAGCAGTCACAGATGGAATCGACAGATGGCTGCAGGAGGCGCAGTGGCACAGGGGCACAAGGGACACGGGACACGGGACAGCAGCTGCGACACATGGCAGCCAGCTGCAATTATTTGCAGTTGGAAGTTCTGTTTCTGTTGGGAACGCGGGCGCACAAGGCCATCAGAAACAGACGGCGGCCAAAGTCATGGACCAAAAACCCAGTCGAGGCAACTTCCGACCCCCCAGCCCCTGGCCTGCCACGGGGCAAAAACAGCAAAAAGAGGGCAAATAATTTATAATTTCGCACGTGAAACTGACAAAGCAGAGGGAAAGCGAGATTTTCCTACACATCGGATCGCATCGCATCGCATCCCATCCCCCTTCCTCCACCCCACCGTGGCACACTATGTCTGTGTTCTGCTAAAACTTTTATTCGAGCACTTGACAAACGAATTTGTATCTGCAGTTGTGCTCGCCGAATGTTTGAGCAAATAAAAAACAGATGCGTCTTGGCCACACTCGAATCTTTGTATCTACCGATACGAGATGCTCGCACTGTATCTTGTTAGGGGGGCCAAAGACACTTCGAGTGGCATGAGACAGCTGGCCCTGGACGAGCCACAATCAACATGTGTTGGCCAGAGCTCATACATACGCGTAGCATCCACAGATGCGAATGATGCGGATGCTGATGATGCGCATCTGTGGTTATGGCATTCAATTCTCCAGGGGGACTTACCATTTTATCTGATCTGTTGGGTTATTCTTGGTTGCTTGGATCTATATATAATAATTTTAAGTTCGGTTGAAACTGTTGTTGGCTTTGGCTTGTTTTAGTTTGTTTTGTTTCTTGTTTGATTCAGTTCGAGTGCAACATCTTTTTATTTCTATTTAATTATCTGTTTGTTTTTCACTTCTGACTAGTGGACTCAATTAGTTTTCTTAATTATTGTTTGGCGTTCTTTCATTGTTTCATTATTTACACTTTTCGAGGGGAACACAGCGCGGAACCGACCGACACTCGAACCGGCATTTCGAAGCAATGCCAAGCGAATATTCTGAATGGCGCGCTGGAACCGCAGTAATCGGCCTCGGCATCGGAGGCACTGCCAGCGACAGCATGCAATCCACGCGGAAGTCGGAACGTGGTTAAAGAGTGCGGAGTGGAGCGGAGCGGAGCGAGAGTGCGCTCACGTCCGAACAGGCGAAAGATGGATTTGTTTGTGAGAAGAGCAGCCGCTGCCGCCACTCAGGTAGCGAGCGCGATTCGTGTCGTATCGTGTCGTGTCGTGTCGTGTCTCTGGTTATGCTTCGTATTCGTCGTCGCCTGCTTGCACTCGGGCCAGGCGCCTGCGCAGGCATTCGCAGTTGCAGATGGAACAGCTGTTTCCTCCTCTCCTCTCCTCTTCACACGCCGCCAGCCCTTGCTCTTATCGCTGGGCTGTGGCAGAGGCAACAACTGCCTGCCAGACATTTGTTCTTGTTGGTCGTCGCCGGCATTTGGCCGCTGGGCTATTAACATCAGCTGCTGCTCAGCCTCTCTCTCTCTCGCTCTCTCTTTCTCCTTCTGCCTTTCGTGGTGCCCCCCCCTGCCCCTGCCACTCACTCCTCCCTCGGGTGTGTGCTGCCTTCTGTTGGCGGCAGCTGAAAAATTCCTTTTTGGCAGCAGCTTGTTTCGTTCTCGTCTCTGTTGCTGTTTCATTTTGGCCCCTGCCACTGCCACAGACACAGCCACAGCCATGAAATTCCAGTTGGCATTGCGTTGCGAACTGCGTGCCGATATTTAAATAAATTGCCAACCAATTGTGCACACACCCCCCCAGGGCCCGCCCCTGCCCTGAGTGGCGGCCTTATGCGCGTGTTCACACCATGTCAAACGCTTGGAACCCCCACCCACACACACACACACTCCCCTCCTGGACCCCAGGGAGCACAGGGCTTAGTGATGAGAATGAGCATGAGCGCCCAGCAAATTAGAAGCGATTCGGTCTCTGGTTCGTTCTGTGCGTGGTTCTAGCAATCCTCAGAAATCCCAATCGGAGTGGGTAGGGGTTGTAAGATCAATTCAGGCTTCAATAAGAATCGAAACCAGCCAAAATATCCCTGTCTAATTTTAAGCTTAGGTAATCTAAGCTCTTAGGGGAAATACTTGAAATGGATGGAGGATAAACAAACGATATGGAAGATCATACAAAATAAATGCAATCAATTGGATTAGTCACAGCACCCCATTAGGATAATCCTGAAAATTAATAGCAGCTACAGGGAACTCCCTCTTGGCCTGCTGATGATGAGCAAGCAATCGACATCGCTCACACATATCTGTCATCTGTTTACCAGCTGTAGCAGCTGCGGCAGCGTGGAGCGGGGAAGACGTTTCAATAGATTCCTACAAATTGACCACCGCAATTTAAACAAACCCCCGCTTTTGGCCAATAAGTGGCCATTCATCTTGTCCAGCCGCAGTTTTGCCATTGCCCCCAATCGAAGCCCGGAGCCCTGCCTCCCTGGCTCCCGCCTACACACTCATATAAGCAAAACTTGCCACAAACGAAAACCCAAGCACCCTAAACCACAAACTTGAACGAAAGAGACAGAGACATAGAGAGAGAGAGAGAGAACATTTGGCACCCAAACCAAGCCCAAGTCCAGAACAGGGGAAATCTATTGGGTTGGCAAGGATGGGGGGGGTGTGGGATGGGAATGGGCCCGGCAGAAAGCGGCAAGCAGCAGGCAGAAGCGCTCTTCTTTTACTGCTGCCACTTGGTAGCAGTTGGCAATGGCAGCGACGTTGCCGTCTCCGTCTCCAGCTCCAGCTACTGCTCCTGCTCCGTCGTCGTCGGGGCAGCATCAGGCGGCAAATAATGTAAAACGCCATTAGGCGAGATTTTCTCATACAAACAACAATTGTGCATTGGCACACCAGCCTGAAGTCGTCTGCGATTCTGGTGGCAAGGCTGCTGGCTGGTGGGAGGGAGGGAGGAGGAATGGGGCATTGTGGGTGGATTGTGGGCGTTGGACACAGCATTTTTTATGCGCATTTCGCACAAGTAAATGGGAAAGAGAGGGCGAGAGAGAGAGAGAAAGACAAGAGACAGAGAAACGTAGCAAACGAAAACAATTTTGGGGCCGCGCTGCCTGCCTGCCTGCTTGCCTGGCAAGTGGCAACATTTGTTGCTGCCGCTGCCGCTGCTGCTGCTGCGACAAATTGAATGAAATCACGGCAATTTGGAGTGGCATACATCGGCAGGGAACAGCTGCGGCCGGGCCGTGTCCAAGTCCGTTCCCAAATGGCCAGTCGCAAAAAAGAGGAAAAAAGAAACCAGAGATGGGGCAAACAACTGTTTGCCCTGACTGTTGACGCATAATTGAATTATTAATTTTTATTTTAAACAATGTCATGACATATTGTTGCCGCTGCTGTTGCAAGGGGTGTTGCTGCTGCTGCTGCTGCTGCTGCTTTGCCGTTGCTGTTGTGCCTGCCCCGCGTGTTTATCTGTCGGCGGCGTGCTTCGTTCCGATAAAGAAGTTGTTTGCTCAGCGCCGATTCAGCAGCAAACAAAGTGAAAGTCGGGGAACGAACCCACCCCACCATCAGCCACGCCGCCACCCACTTGCGGCGTCCTTTAGGCCAGGAGGTCAAAATGAAGCTGTTTGTTTGGGATGTGTGTGTGTGTGTTCCGTCTGTGTGTGTGTGTGTGTGTGAATGGGTGGGTGGGTGTCTGTGGCATTGACTGACTTTTGATAATAAGTACGAATACGAGAGTACCAGGGAGATGGGTTCAGGGTCCTGGGAACTCGGAACTCGAAACTGGCAACTGCCGGGGGCATGGGAATTGGCAACTGAGTGCGAGCAGATAACACTCCATGGAGGATGGTAATGGCGAGCCATGATGCTGATGCTGATGATGATGATGCTGTTGATGTGGATGGTACGACACCCATTCGCATCCCACTCCCAGTCCAATACAACCCGATTCCAATCCATTCAATGCCAGTGCAATGTTGAGCTCCAAATCGTTTGAGGCTCAACTCTTCTTAGCTGGGGAATTCACTATGTCGCCTTGGGCCACGGGCTCCCTTCCGACTGACAGCAGACTGTTGGATGCCGTCTTCAGGCCCAGCGGTTGGCCTGTCCACGGATAAGACGCGCTAAAATTGTCGCCTCCAGTGACAGGCCGCCTGGGAGGCGCCAATTCTCAGCTCCAGCCTGTCTTATCTCGTCCGTTCCTGGCCAGGACATGAATAGCCAAGAAAGGACTTGTCTTGTCTTGGCTTTTTGTGCGTGCAAAGTGAAAAGCGTAAAAAAGCAAGGCAGGGGCAGAGTCAGAGGCAAAGGGAGCTGCAACTGAAATGTGGACAATGGCGAACCATTTGACGAGGCAGGCGGCACAAGGGAGGAATAGTTGGTGGCAGCAAACCATTGCCATGGACAGGACGGAGATCGAACAGCTGCAATTATACACGTTGCGTTGATAAAGAAAATGTCTGTAAAAAATATAAAATACAAATTGCACCACTAATAAAAATTATCAAAAATAAATCAGAAAATATTCGAAACGAAATTCAAAAGGCTAGATTTAAATTCAATGGAATTGGATTCATAAATGCACATAGAAACAATTGCACATCTAGATTTGAGTTGAATGCAAAGCATCGTCAAGAGGCGACTCAAAGGAATCATTTGAAAGACAGATTATGACTGGGGCAACAGCCACAACATCTCTTTACGCAAAGCTTCTGCCACACAACATTTCTATGCCCCACAGACACACAAAAACTGTACAGGCATTGGGATAACTAAATTTTCCTTGTATGTGTTTGTGTGTGGCGCCACAGAAATGGCAACTGGCAGCTTTCAGCAGCAGCAGTGGCAGCAGTGGAAGCAGCCACAACCAGCAAGAGTAACCGTTATTAAAGAGTTTGAATACCTAATTATGAAAATGTCAGTAGCAAACTTTTTTTTGTGATGCTGATGCTCAAAGAGAGAGAAGAGAGAGAGAGAGAGCGAGCGAGTGACAGGGACAGGACAGAATCACAGTCAGGACTCTACCGCTAGGAGCTGATGTGGCTGCTGGCTCGCCGCCTGCTTTCTATACCCTCGAAGAGGGTATGATGATTTTGATCAGAACATGGGAATAAACTGAATAAGGAGCTCCCATAGAAGCAAACGTTCGTTCCACACTTTCCCAACAAAATTTTCATTGAAGAATGTCTTGTATGAATGGGTTCAAATGCTTCGATACACATTGAGACAACATCCTTTGCTCCTGTTGTTGCTTGTACTCGTACTATTATTGTGGGAACAACAAAGTTGTTTGTGATGTGCCTGGCAGCCAAACACGGGTTGCTTCATTCTGCATTCAGTTCGCTGCTCAGCAGTTTCCCCCAACAATAACAACAGCAGCACCCAGCAGCAGCAGCCGCAGCAGCAACAACAGCAAAGAAATATGAAAAATTCCATTTTCATGTCACTCAATTGAATTTCCATTCAAAGTTCCCTTTTTTTCGTCTTATTTTTTCTTCTACTGCTGCTGCTGCTGCTGCTGCTGCTGCTGCTCCTCTCCTTTTTGCCAGTGACTGACGCTGACGTCGACGGCGGCGGCGCTTTTCCATTTTCATTTCCCCCCATTTAATATTTTTGCCTATTTTCTGTGAGTGTAAGCCTCCAATCCCCACGCCGCAAATACAAACATGCAAACATACATATGTACATACATATGTACCTATGTGAGCGTGTGCGAATGCTTTGTATTTTTCGGGTTTTCCAGCTAAATTAATTGCCTACGGATTTGTAGTTAGTTGCCATCGTCATCGCTATTGTTGGGGCTGTTGTTGGTGTTGTCGTTGCTGTTGAAAGCTCAAACACAAACATACAGACACACCAAAATGCCTGCCACACACCCAAACACAAGGACGAACACAGGGCAACACCAATGGACATACACAATGGCAAACCAAAAGTCCCTTTTTGCCTTGACTGCATTCGGGTTTTATGGTAAAAATAAATAAATTTCGGGTTTATCTCAATGGCATACAAGTCATTTGCAGCTGAGATTTTTTTTGTTCCTCTTCTATCTATCTCTACTACTACTATTTCTACTACAGCTATGGCCCCCGTCCGCACCCCACTTTCACACCCACACCCACTCCCACTCCGATTCTGCCCTCACCCACCTGACACGTTTTTTTTCACCCATCTTTATGATTATTTTTTTGCCCTATTCCATTCGCTGCTGTGGTTGCTTTTTGACTGCAAAGGTGAGGACCACATGCGAGTATGATGGTTGGGCGGGTGGGTTGTTGGGGTACGACTGTGTGTGCGTCCCGGGCACAATATGCTGGGAACAATTGAGGCATGACGAGGAGATCTGTGGACGCTGGACATGAGCTTACATCGGATTAACATTGTGCTCAAGGCGTTCAGGCAGCTCTGGTAAATCGATTTCATTCGATTCCAGCTGTAACAACCACAAATAGTAATTCCATTGGGAAAAATAGGAATATGTCCCTGAAACAAGCACAAATACAAGTAGTAATTGCCGATTGGAAGAAACGAAGATGACACCAAGAGCTTTCAGTAAACCAAATGGATGCGATTTAGTGGCTCTAAGGACATATTTAGAGGCTTGTCAGGGTTTCTTTGGTCTCTACAAAAACTGTCATAGTAATAAATCAATTAAGTCGTTTAGTAACTAAACTGATTATTAACTTGGAAATAATTCGATTAACAAATCTGAATATTCAACTAATTTCAGATTATCCACATCCGCATCTAACTCACAGACCAATTATTTATTTAATGATTTACTCACCTCGTTTTGAATTCTCATTTGAATAAATTACTTTATTCATTAAATTCAGTATTCAACCAATTGCCACTCCTCATCCCATTCAGCACATTCTGACAAACTACAGGACCGCAAGAGAACCCACCTCCCATCCGAAAAAGAGAGCGACTTCACTGACCCTCGCAGACAGCCCAATGTCCCCATTGTCCTGTGTTTTTTTGGCAGGAGAGGGCTGGGGGGTGGCACAGTTCCTGCCTTTGTTTAGTGGCCAACAGCAATGCCAACTGCAGTCACACTCCACTTGGCCAGCAGGCTTCTTGTTTTCATGCAGATTTATTTACGGAATTTAAATTTAAACAAAAGCAACAGCAACAGCACCAAGAGCACGGGAAAAAAGTGACCAACCCGCCGGCGACTATGGCATTTGGGCCTGCTCCTGACAAGCTGTCACTGCTGGGTTCAGGCTGTTGGAATCTCAGCCAGGCGACATTCTCCATTGACATGATTTTGCTTCAGTAATTAAACAACATTTTCTTTCCGCGCATTGCACGGAAATCAGCAGCAACAAACTGGGCACATCTGCTGACAGGTTGGACAGTCTGCCGTATTGATGGAAACTGAAAGTAATTAGATTCAGTGTGCGAAAGCTTGAACAAATAAATTAGAATCATACCCATCAGGCAATCACATTTTATTGGCCCCTCCGATATGAATTTTTGCGAGAGAAACTGAAATTCTATTTCAAATCTATTCAAAAGCACTCAAAGTATTCAAAGGATTTTCAAAATATTTTCAGTTTAGGCAATACAGGTTTTGATAAGGTTCTTGTTTTTTTTATCCTCTTCCCTGACGCTGTGCGTTTTCCCCATTTTCTTGTAACAATAAATAGTGGGTGCAGCTGCAACAACAAGAGCAAGAGCAACACCAGCAGCAACAGCAGCAGCAGCAGCAGGAGCAGTGACAGCGGTGGCACCAACAAAAAAAAACAGCACATCAGCAATGGCATCAATTTTTTGTAACATGTTGGCAAACAAGGTCTCAACCACGCCCCCACAGCCCAAAGGCCACGGTCCCCATGGCATTCTGGCCATGGCTGATATGGCTGCTGTGGTTGTTGTTTGTTGTTGTTGCTGCTGCTGCTGTGCGGCCACTTAAATGTCGTTATGTTGTCGGGTCACGCGCCAGGTTCCAGTGTCCAATGTGGTACCATGCCCCATGATCATGTTCTTGTCCCAAACTCAGCTCTGGCCAGCGGCACGATGGAGGAGAAAACAACTTTATTGCCGCAGCAATTATGCGTAGCTAATAAAAACTTTGAGAGGGACCGGGACCGGGACCGGACTGGCAGGACAGGCGTCCAGGAGCTGGCAACATCGACAGGCAAACGATTTATGCATGAGAGAATAATTAATGCGTTGATTTATTTTAAAACGTGTTATGGCATTCAAATAAAGGCCAAAGCCTGTTCAATGGCTGGCCAGATTTAACCCATTGGCAGCATTTTCAAACAATGGTATAAGCTCCATAAGCTTATGGAAAAAACCTCCAAAAAATGTTGAAAATGTTCAAAAAATAATCTTTTGCCTACCTTTAGGGGCATTAACAGGACTCCAATGCAGCCACCGATGATGGGCCATCAATGGGTTAGCATGTGCGAATTCTGGCGCTATGTCGAAATGCAAATTTATATTCCAACTTGACAGCAACAACAAAAGCAACAATCAAACAACCCAAACAAACATTGCCGACAAAAAGTGTACTATATGGCTGCGGAAAAAAGGGAGCGCCCTGGAAGCAGCAAAATCAAATATGTTAAGCGGCATTTAAGAGCGACATCGTGCCTGCCACATGAGATAATGCCCCCATGCTGCCGCACCTTGCAGCAATCCCCCATCGCCCATCCCCCGCCCTGCGCCAGTGATGAGCTTTTATATTTTTCTAAAAATTTGCACGCATTGCATTGTTGTTCCCATTGTTGTTGCTGTTATTTTTGTTGTTTTGGGAGTGCTGCTTGCTTGTTTGTTTGTTTGATTGTTTGTTCGGGGTACACACACCCATACACACACATGTGCGGTTCCCAGCGACAGCTTCGGCGGTAGGATAAGAAAGAAATGATATCTCCGCTGGCAGAAGCTGTTAATACACTTGCAGTTATGAAGGATAAAGGATTGCACATAAAGGATAGATAGATTACAATGTTGGGAAATAAATTCCATGGAAACAGAACAATGTGCAGATAGGCGACTGACATATTTACCTAATGGTAGGTACTCCAGTTTTAGACGTCAGCTGAAAATCGTACTCCCTTCCGGAAGGGTATACAAAGCGGGAAAAAGGACTATGGCACACGCCACTTCTTTGTGAGAGAGAGAGAGAGGGAGAGAGAAATGTGGGAAATGTAAACGGAATTGTTTTGCTTGCCTCGATGCTGGCTGTGCCTCCGTGTGGGTGCGCTTCGTACGTGTGTGCCTATGTGTGTGACAAAGGGATAATGACTGGCAGCCACAGCAACTCACACGACCGACCCTTCCCCCTCGCTTGAAGCAGAGGTGATGACGTCGACCGCGCTGCCCTGCGTGTCTTATCGCCAATGAAGGAAAACACGCACGCCACATCCCGCCCAAGGGCGAGGGGGCGCCATCTCAAGGATATGCCACACGGTGCAGCAGATAGAAATCCCTCCATCTGACCATCAAGACGGAGATTGTTTCAGAGTGTATTCCGAACTGAGCGCCTGATCTGGTGGATACAACGGATTTGCATCTGTCTATTGTCGCCAGCTTAAGCGGAAGTTGTGCATTATAACTGAGAGTGCTAGTTACGAGACTCTGTTTCGAATTTAAGTGAAGGTGAAGGCCAATTAAACTTGAATAGTTTGGATACAGCGAATTGGGTTGGGTAGCTCAGGAACATATTCTCAGGCAGTTAAAACGACAGGTTTATTCCTTCCATTAATGATTTTAAAGTTCCGCTGAGAAAATGAAATCGAACTTGGAGCATAACCTTTAAATTTTTCCGCCAAACTCGGTTGATTTTATTTGTAACAAACAAACGCCAGATGGCGCGGCACAGATTTGTAAGTTGCGGCAAAATTCGCCAGGTGGCGCGGCACAGTGTTGGTAAACAGCTCGCCGTTGATATTTTGCAGCACTGCAGAGTTCAAACTGCACGTTTTGTGGCGCATTTAATTCAAATTCGTCAACAGAACTTTACTTTAGTTATTAAATGAAACACACAAGGATATAAATATTATTTTAAACTAATTTAATTGCACTTTATTGAAGGTAAACCCCTACGGTAAGCTCATTACATTTACAGAATTATACAATATATTTGTTCAACAATTTCCATTACGCAGAAAGGCGAACCTTGCCACGCCCACAATGCAATAGCAACGTCAACAAAAAACAACGACGATCAACGACGACTCGTTCAATTAAATTTAAATGACTATTGTTCATTGACTCAGTTTTGTCCTTCGGAGGGGGTGGGGGCTGTAGGAGCATAATTGTGGTTCGAGGGCGGGGCTTTGTGACGACATCGAGTAAACATATTCTTAGCTTAAGTGTAGTTGTAGTTTTAAGCACTAATTATCACATAGTAAACTTATTCAGTAGGCTTTTGTTTCCGCTTGGACTTGCATTGACTTGCAGTTGACTCTGGGACCAGCTCAGCGATATCCCAGCAGGTATTTGGGCAGATAGGTGATCGAGGAGAGCAGGCTATAGCTAAGGAGTGGGGGTAGATTCAACAATAGATTGTCGGAGGCATGTGAAAGTTAAATATTTCGATCATTTATTGTCATCAGAATATTACAGAACGGTGTCACCATCAAGTAGTTATATGATAATAATTTATCTACATAAGTGCGCGTATCTCAACCACCAATGTTAACCACAACCACATCAATCGGAACCCAGAACTCCGTAGTTGTCTGCTCCCCGGAGGCCGGCATATCTCTCCGATCCTCTGCGCTGTGTAGGGTTTTAGTTTTTTGGTTTTTTTGTTTTTTGTTTGTTTATTGTTGAATGAACCACACCAGTGCAGAAAGTAAAATAACTTGATTATTATTTATCGTGTAGAAAATAAAATGTAAATGAAAATGGTAGAGTACGATCACGATCACGAGCACGAGCACGAATAAGTGAAGAACACAAATCAAATGGAAAGCAACCACCACCAGAAAAAACAGTTTGGATTAACTGAATGGTACATACGAATTGGTCAGTCCGCGATAGAACCACGACTTCCAGGACTTGGAGGACTCCTCATCGATCTTGGACTCGACATCCGAGCAGAAGTGCTTCCGATCGTGCGAGCGTCCGCTCTTGCAATCGCATATCAGACGTTTCTTGCACTCGGCATCGCAGGTTGGCCGAGCCGGCGAGTTTTTCCAGTAATATCTGTTGAAGAAAGGATCAGCCGCCATTAAGTAAAGGCGAAGAATCACCTACTAAGCTGATTCAACATACTTGTAGTAGAGCTCAAAGAGCTCCTGATTGTTGGTCAGCTCGTTCAGCAGGTTGTTCCAATCGCTGGGCCGCAGGGCCTTCATATTGTAGGCAGCTCGGGCTGTGTACAGCTTGTACCAGATGGGATAGCCATACAGATTGGCCTCCTTCAGGTTCATTATCCAGGACTCGTGGTCGATGACCAGACGCGTCGTCGAGTCGTGATCCCCATCCACATAGTACACGCGGTAGCCAGGATTCAGATCGTAGTACGGCGACACAGAAGGTCCTATGTACGCAATGCTGTTGGGATGATCTGGAACAGAATGGATCAGAAATATTGTGCCGGCTATCTGCAGATCGATTCATACTCAGATCGTGGGGGTCGTAGAACATTTCAAACTCATCGTAGTGCGTGTGGCCGTAGAATTGGGCAGTGATGGTGCTCTCGTAGCGGGAAATTATCTTGTAAAAGTTGCGCGACCACACCTTCAGGCAATCCGAATGTCCGGGCGGTATGTGGCCTATGACATGGACCTTCTCATTGGAGAACTCTGCACTCTGCAGCTCGTAAATGAACCTGAAGAGATCAGGAGACTTTGTTAGATCTGGTATAGATTGCACTGACTCAACCCTCAAGCCCTATCCTTACCATTGCAGTTCTGTGGCCGGATCCGTGGAGTTGAGCAGCAGCCACCAGTTCTTGTTGTTGCAGTAGTTCATGTTCAGCGAGATGATGCGGAATCCGGGGCGCACCAGCACCGAGTAGAAGGCGCCACGCCGCACCGTGTGGGTGACACTCTGGGGCAGCCAGCGTCGCCATTGGACGTCGAGCTCGTCGTAGAGCCAGCTGATGGAGATGTCCACCTGGTTGACGTACGGCGGCGGAAAGCTGTTCACTGGGGCGCTCTCATGGTTGCCCAGGGCCGGGAAGATGGGAATGCCGGGGAACTTCTCGACCATCTGCTTGACCGTCTCCTTGATGATGGCCAGGTTCTCCTCCTTCGTCTGGTTCCACACATCGTGGGGCGGCAGGTCGCCGGTCCACAGGATGTAGTCGATGTCCTTGTGGGTCTCGGCAATGTGGGCCAGCATGTGGTCCACCGTCCGCTTGGGGGTGTCGCACTTGCGGTAGTCGCCCCACTTGCCGGCAGCCGCATTCGGTGTGGCGGGCCTTCCGCTGCTCAGCCGGCAGCAGAGGGGCTCGTTGCAGTCCGCGTTCGAGCCCTCGGCGTAGTGGGGGTCGTAGTGGGTGTCGGAGATGTGCAGCACCTTGAAGAAGGGCGCCGCCTCCATTGGGATGGGCAGGTCGGCGAGACGCGGCGGCTTGGGCACCGGCGGGAAGATGACCTCCCACTCGTGGTACGGATTGTAGACGTCGCCACAGCCGTCGCCAATGATGAAGCTGCAGAGCTCGTCGGGACTGAGGTTCACCCGCTTGATCACGTAGATCAGCTCGCTGCCGAAGAGCTGGGCCACGCCCTGGCAGACGCGCGCACTCTGGATGTTCAGGTTGGTGCAATAGTCTGAGATCATGCGGATCAGCTCCGCGTCGGTCTTGCCCGACTGGATCTGGTGCTGCAGCATCCCGGATCCGGCGCGGCAGGCCGTGCACGTTACCTTCGACATCACACTGTTCTCGATCTCGAACGCCACCTGCTTGAGATTGAGCAGCTTCAGTGCCTTGTCCACAAACGGCGGATACACGAGGCCATCGCCAGAGCCCACATCGTACCACAGCATGCGGGATGTGGACGTCTGATTGTGCCTGATGTTGACCAGGCGCTGCAGGAACTCCGCATCCGAGCCATCGCCAGATGTGGCCGCACTGTGGCTGCGATTCGGATGGCTGACCAGATCCAGGTGCGGCTCAATGCTCCGCGGCTGCTCCTCAATCACCCAGCGCTCCATCCGCGGCTGCGTCCAGTTTATCTGCGGCCTGAAGCGTGTGAAAAGGAAGGGGAGTGCTCCAGCTGTAAGTGGAAATCCAATTAGAAACGATCTCCCACTGTGAGAGTCTCCTCCTCCGTGGCTGCACTTACCCTCTGGGACCATCGACAGAGCTGCGAGAAGAGCGAGCAACATGAGTGCGATGAGCCTGCAGTTTCCCCTGGGACTCGGCCATGGCGGCTGCTGTGTCATAATTGCTGGTGACGTTCTGCCTCTGGATCGTCCAGTTCCACGGGCAAGTGGCAGTCGGCAGTCGTCAGTCGTCAGTCGGCTTGACCTACATCCGAAAGCAGAGACAACAATTTGAAGAGTCATTATTATGTTAAACGGGTTTCATTTCGAGGAGCTCCTTCATCAACGTTTTCGGTTTGCTTTTCGGTCTTAAAATGCAGTTTCTTTTTCCTGCTTCTTACGTATAAGTTTGTCGACCCAGTAAAAAATACACAACAAAATGAGGCAATTTATGTAATTTCTTGCATAGGGTCGTAAATAACTATGTGGCTGCCATAACATAAATTGCGCGTTTTTTTCATTTAAGTTTAAACAAAATTAATTAAGGAAGTACCTTCCTTGTGTTACCCAATGCTGAACAAATCCCTCATACCGGATCGCTCTCTCTGTATTTATGTGTATCTCTGCCATTAACATCCCCATATCCACCCACTTGACCTTTTCAATTGCACAACACTGGCAGAATCCATTTTCCCATGTCCATCTGCCGTTCCATCTGTGATGTGTGTGGCTTTCATCAGCATTTGACAGCACTTAAAATCTCGTTAGCTGTAAATGGCAGACATGTTGCAACACCCACAACATCACATCACAAGGGGCACGCATCGGCATCGGCATCAGCATCATCAGTAGCCCGGCAACAGTCACCACTTGACGCCCCGTGCAACCTTAGATGAAATTGTTGCAGTGCTGTTATTTGCATTGACAGATACATTCGTATCCCACAGGCCCCAAATGACTCGCGTACTTTTATTCTGTGTATCGCAGATGAAATACTTAGCATAGGAATGGCGTTATGTTGTCCGTTTTATTTACTATTTTTCTCAGTTTCTAGCTGCCTTATCAGCACCTCCTCCATCCACTAAAAAACAAATAGTTGCGCTTTAAATAAGATTTAAACGACATATTTAATAATAACCTTTGCTGTATGTTTTTCTTCGTTCCCAGAGCCAGAGAGAGATGGGGTTATCAATGTGCTGACACTGTTGTTGTGCAGCTGCTGCCAGAACTTATCAGTGTGAACTATACACATGACAAGATGCATAGGCCCCATAAATTAACACTCTTATCAGCATTTAAAACCTCCTGACAGATTTACACACGTGTATGCATACAGCTCATGCTATTCGACTAACTGAGTGAAAAGTTCACGGATATTTCCTATTCCAGCCTATGAGTCGGTTGACTCATCCGAATCATCCCTCAGAGTGAATATCCTCCTCTTTTATGATTACTAGCAGGCTAAATTGTATCTTTTTATTCCAGTCAATTGACAGACACGAGTATCACATGACACGACGCCAACATAGCAGCAATACTCGTATAATCAAAACAAACAAAACAAATTAAATTGATTTGTTTGCCTCCATCCAACCCATGGCATGGCGGGGCTGCGTCAACCTTCAGTAGAGCTCAATGCCATCACAGTGGATGTTATCCAGACATGCCTTATGCCTTTTACCACTTGGCCTCATCTATTGGGCTGCCAGACAAATAAAGCGCCACTGTTGAACCACTGGGCTGGAGCTGGGACTAGAGCTGTGGCTGTGGCTGTGGCTGAGGGTACATTGGCCTCCCCAGAGTGAAATCGTCATCGTCTCGGAGTATAAACAAAAACCAAACTTTTTATTTGCCATTGCGATTTGTGCAAAAATCGAAAGTGTCGCCCAGCAGATCACAGAGTTCACTTCAAACTATGCATTATTAACACAATACACTCTGATGTGGTGGGGTGGGATGCGAACTCGTTTCGTAGACAAGGTTAGGCGCACTGGGGAACAGCACTAATTTCCAGCTGAATGCAGGTCATGTTAGAGCCGTCAAAATGCTTGAACCCAACAGCACAACACAGGCACAACAACACAACAGCCGACCAAAAGGCATTACAAAACTATCAAAAACTAAGCGAACGCATAAAATGTTTTTTACAAATGTTTCTGGGGCGAACCGGTTTATCGGTTATGGCTGGCAGCACGTGGTCGGTAAGTGGATTTTTGGCACACAACATCTGCATCCGATGGTTCTCAGCTTTCCCATTCAGAGTCGTCTTCATTCAGGGCACGATTCCCCCACCCCTCCAAGCCCCCCTCCAGCCCGAAGGGCCACCGAACAAGGGACAGGGCAACGCACAAAGAAATCACCTCCCGGCGCAACGGTAATTCCGAAAGAAAAAGAAGTCAAAAATGTTGTACGCGCCCAAAAACTTTCACTTTCTTTAGAAATTATACTTTGATAATACTCGTATAATTTCCTCTTTCTCTCTCGCCCCGTGGCTGCTCCGGGGCTGCGGCACATGAAATACTCTGGAATGTGCTAACCAGCGTACCCGTACCGTACCGTCACTGTACCGTCGCGTCCCTAACCCAACCCACACCCAATAGTCTTGTTGGCTTTATCTCAGACTCCTCTGTATGTCTTTTTAGTGTCTATTGTATAACGGTGCAGGCAGGCAGGCAGAGAGTCGGGCAGGCAGTCACGCTGCATGTAATGATTTAATGAACATTTCTTGTTTTATAATAATTAGGAGAGAGATGCCAGACGAACCCTAGGTGGAGGGAGCCGGAATGACATGGAATGAAAACGAAAGTGAGTTTCTTTTGTTTTCCAGAAACCCCAAACCCAAATGGGAAAATATGTGCTTGGATTTCACAATGAAAAGCACGTAAGGGAATCCAATCGAAGCAAAGAGAGCGTTTAGTTCGGAAAAGCATCAAACATCAATTCCAGTGGATTTCAAATGACATTTTTATGAGTTTCAGACAAGGAAGAAATTAGTTTGAGGCACGTTTTGCGGATAACAATGTAAAGTGTGGCAAATTAATCAGCAAATTTCTGATCGATCTCTCTCTCTCTCTCTGCTTTGAAATGTATTCGTTGATCTTTAATACACACCCCGAAATTTTTGGGATTGATATTGATATTCATGGTCAAGCTTCAGTATTCGAGCGAGTATGTGTCACTGGAATAGCCTCGTCATGACCAAACAATGGCCTATTTATTTGCTTTTGGTTAGCAAGAGCTAATTAAATATGCACCCGCCGAATACCTGACACGCACAGCAAACTGCACGAAAATAGAAACAGCCACAGAAACAGATACAGAATATGCCAAAGACGGACAAAACTAATGAAAGCGCTGCGTAACCAGTCGCTCAAGAAGTCTTGCGTATGCCAAATGAATACAAATGCCAATAGAGCATGAGAGATGGCAGCACAGAGAGCGAAAGAGATGGATATTTTTGGAGAGGGAAGAGCGGCAGAGAGAGAGCGCGCTTAAGAATGGGCTGGGAAAAAAAGTGAAACAAAGTGCAGACGGATGAGATGACAGCTTTACAGCATAGCTCATAATTTTGCAAGCAATTCAGAAAATCTTCAGTCTGCGCATGCGTGACAGTCGAGTCCACCAATCCAGAAGCAGAGGGGGGTAGCCAGGCAAGAGCCAGCCGATACACCGCCAAGTGAAATGCGCAAACTTGTTTTTCCTGCCGCTTCTGACGAAATGTGTAACAGTAAAAACAGTAAGAAAACTACCACAACTGGTTTAACAGAAACGACCGATTCAAACCAAAATATTGATAGCCACCACCGCTGCTCAATGGACGTTCAAGCTGTTGGATTTCCCGCACTTACCTGTCCAAAAATAATTCACAAACGATCAATATTTCTTTTGCTTTTCACACAATCTCTCACCGGCGATGCGAAGACGATGCGAAGACGATTCGAACTTTCGTTCTTCACTTGACTTGACCCACAACGAACCGCACCGAACCGAACTGCACTGAACTTGCCTTTGTTCTTTGGATTTCGATTTGGGGCTTATATTTTTGGGATTGGAATTCGGTTTTCGTTTTCTTTATCTTTATCTTTCTCTGTTTCGCTTTTTCTTTGCTTAGCTTTGCTTTGGCTTTGGCGGGTACACTTTATTTATAGACAATATTGTGCCATAATTCGCGACTCTCCTTTTTCGATTGGCCTCATTTATTTACGTTTCATGTGTTTAGTTTACGCCGCTTTTGCTACCCACACAATACAATACAATACACTGCTCGTATTTATATTTCTTTTTTGGCATGCACTTTGCAATCGTTGTTTCTGCTTTATTTGTTGCTTTTGTCGTAGATTTCACCCGCTGGACAAAGTTTTCAATGGAAGCCAAACGCGTTTCTCCGCTGAGTAGAGTCAAACCGTTCCGTTCGCAGTGAACCGCCGCCACGAACAGAAGGAAATAGTGCGATGGATGGATGGATGGATGGACAGAGCACAGAGCTTTCGAGCCAAGCTTGCTGATCAAAATTCATGATCTGAGCAACAAAGAGAGACAGAGAGAGAGAGCGAGAGAGCGAGATCGTGAGATGTGTGGAGAGCGCCATCAAATGTGATTCAAAGAGCGAAAGCTTTTTATTTACCGGACAATAACATCAGAGTGGGAGAGGGAGAGAGGGCGTGATGTCGTTTAGCTCTGGCGACCGACCTGCATGAATAACTTTTGACTCTTAATTAGTTGTTAGTCTGATGTCTTATCTCTGATGGAAATTGTTCTACTATTGTTTCGAAACGGAAATACATATATGTACACGGTAACCAGCTAGCGTGCTTTTAATTAATTTAAAATTAATTTGGCTAAAATATATATCAGAGTTCTAAAGTCTGGAGCATATAAGTACATATGTATGTATAATTTATTTTTGTATTATTTCATTTGGCTCATATTTCTGCACACATATTTGGGCAGGGTTTGGTGGCTATCAGTGGCCGTGACAATAATTTTCGAGGTCTGGATTGTGCACTCCATTAATCAATTTCTGCTAACCGTTTGCGCCCCGTCTGTCTGTGTCAATGCACTCGAGTGATTTATGACGATGCCTATCAGGCGGAGGACTCGATTGACGCACTCTGGGAATCGTCGCGGCGATTGTAGACGGTGAATACGTCGTGCTTGAAGCTGAAGACGCGCTGCAGGTTGCTCGGATCTGCCTCCATCTCGACTTGCCGCTGGGCAGACTGCTCCACTTGCCGTACTTCGGTGGTCGGTGGCGGATCGTGCGCAGGATAACAGCGCCAGGTGATGGTCAGCTGTGGGAGGCCACAGCAGCACCACCAGCACAGGCTGCAGGGCTTGGCCGGCTGCGAGTGTTCCGTGGGCATGGCTCCGTCCTGACCACGACCAGGATGGCGGCAGCAGAGGAGGTCCATTGTCTTCTGCTTCAGCAGGGAAACAGTGCGAATGGTCTGGGTGAGGAAGGTGTAGAAGAGCGGGTTCAGGGCGCAGCTGAGGAGATTCAGGATGCCAAAGCTGAAGTAGAGCAGCCAGTCGACGGGCTCGGAGTAGGAGCCGTACAGGCGCATGATCAAGAAGATCCAGGCGGGCAGGCGCAGGAAAATGAAGACGGCCATCATCAGGAGCACAACGACAACCATGCGCCGATGGCGAGCCTCGCGAGCCTGCGCAGCTGGTCCCATGCCACCCACTGGCGCCTGATTCGTGGTGCTCCTTGGAGCTTGTGGGCTGGGAGGAATTGAGGGCAGGGCAGGCTTGTGCATTACAAACGGCAGGGCCACACCCATCGCACTCGCCAGGGTCGAGGGCATCAGAAGATCCGCATTACTGGCCGGCAGGGACTTGAATTTACCCTCCTGATCCGGCTGCCGCTCCTGCTGCTGCTCCTGCTGCTGTTGGTGGTAGTGGCGCCGCACCCAGAGCTGCCGCGCTATCACCGTGTTCAGCCAGAGGAAGCTCACGATGCAGGGCAGGAAGATGAGGGTGAACAACATGACGTAGAAGAGGCCTTCATTGTGCTGCGTATAAATAGAAAGGCATTAATCTCTTTCCCACGCCAAACGATAAGATAATAATCCCATAATCGCTCCAAATCCAAGCCCATACCCCACACAGAGCGATTATCTACCCATTGACTTACGTCGCTCGCCAGGCACATGCTGACCAGCTCCAATTCTGTGACCTCCAGTTTCTCATCTGTCTCTCCGTCGTCGGTTGTCTGCTGTGGCGGGTTCTCGGTCTCCAGCTCCAGGAGATAGACCTTATGGTATCCGTAAATGCCCAACAGTGGAGCAGAGGCGCCAATGGAGCACAGCCATATGAGAGCCACGCAAAGACAGCTAAAGCGAATGTCTGGGTTCCAGAAACCCAGCACTGGCCGCATCACGGCCAGGTAGCGGTCCGTCGCAATGGCCACGAGGCTCAGGCTGCCGGAGAGCACCGATGTGGTGGTCACAAAGGGCACAACCCTGCACATAAAGCTGCCAATGGTCTAAGGAAAAACATACAACGAATTTCGTCAAAACATTTTACTTGGAACTCACCCACAACTGGAGATATTCCGCATGGAACTGCGCTATGTAGGACACGCTGCAGAACACACTTGAGACCAGGTCGGAGAAAGCCAGCGAGAGCAGGCAGCTCCGAAAGAATGGACGCAGCTTCCTTCTGGTGTTCACATAGATGGTGCTCAGATTTCCAAAGAATGCCATTAGAAACAGGACGCCCACAACGCACATAAAGGCATTCCGCTTGAGACGATTCAACTGGCTGAGGTCCCCCACGAATATGCCCGGATACGGCTCCCTCGCAGGACTCTCCGTTACCGTGGTGTTCTTGCCCAAGGCCCATTTCAAGTACGGCTCCAACTGTTTCCACGTGTAAAGCAAGAGCGCCATTTCCAGCAGCGCCCACAAGTATGCAACAGTTTGCCGAGAGCAGCAACCACCAACCACCAACCTCGAAAGCTTTCGCTTCGAAACTGTCGACAGATTTACGACAGATATGGCTACCGATTGCGATTTATGTTAGGCTCGTATTATCGCCTCGTCGGTGGCCGCTTATCGGGCGACATTCACCATTCGTGAGTACCTGATTGCTATCGGTTGTCATTATTTTTCGCACCTCGTTGCACTTGCCCGTGCCCTCAGGATGGATTGGGTGGATGAATGATGAATGAATTGGTGATGATGATTATATCGCAGAAAACGGATCAAATGCGTCGTACACGTGTACGGACAGCTGAGGTCAGCCTAATAGTAATGCCAACATTTTGGCAGGCAAATTCTTTTTCTCTTAATTTTATTCTTGTATTTTTTGAATACTTTTCTATAATACTCATAAATGTAGCTGCACTGGCAATGAGTGAATGAATGAATTTACCCAAGCTTTGAATCCATCCCCGTCACGAAGTTTCTTATGTAAAACAATGTTGAACACTCCGATTTGATATAGCTTTGATTTCATATTTATTTGCGACATTCTCTTGGATTGGTATCCATATATAGCACTTTTCTTTTTTATTGTCCACCTTAAGTTGCACAAGTTCAGCTTCAAAAAATACAACGCTTTCAACGCACATACATACATACATATGTATATAGTATTCGTAAAGGTACATACATACATACATATGTATATCTAATGTATAGTATGTGGTATAATATAAAATTACGCTTAGCTAAAAAATTACACAAAAACTCTTTGATTACAGATTAAACTTAACAGCAAAAGCCTAGGAAAAAAACCTAAATGTAACCTATTAGTAAGAGTGCTAAATTAAATATCGAAAAAAAATACGATTATATGCGCAGACTGGCAAAAGGCAGGCGGCAAACGGAAGGCAAACAAAACATTTTATACAAACATTTATGGCTAGCTACAATCGAAATTACAAAACTAAGCACTCGAAAATACTTGGAATCTGTTGGCAAACACAAATCACATACTCGTACAGACGCGCGCACACAGATACAGATGCAGATACAGACACAGATGCAGATGCAGACACAGACACTGACACAGACGCAGAGAGAAGCTCCCAATCGCTCACACACAACATTTGCCACGAATACGTATACGTACGAGTATATATATATATATATGTATATGTATATTTGTATAGCTGTATAGTATAGTCTTTTAACCAGCGTAGAATAGTATTTGTTGGATAGTTTAGTTATCATAGTAGATTAGGTAGCTTTACAACGACGGATAGTTTCTTGCTTTATTTTGTGGTATTTTTTTGTATTTGCATTTGTAGTTGAAAATGCGGCGAAGCTTTTAGTGTTAGTGCTGGGGCGGGGCCCCCTCTGTGGTGACGCCAGTTAATAGTATGACTCGTGGGATCCGTCCAGGCACTGGCTGGACATGTGGAGGGTGAGCGTCTGATAGGGAAGCGGCTTGCCCATGCTCAAATTGGCCGTCACATAGACGAGATAGCTGGAGCCGGGCATTAGGTTTAGTATGGTTTCCGTTTCGATATTGTCGGAGCTGTGAACGATAAGCAGAGGTATATAAGACGTCATGTCTGATCCACTGAAGCTTGGACTTGCCTTTGCTGCCTCTCCCGACAGGTCATCCACTGAAAGTTCTTGTACTGCATCACCTGCTTGGGCACAAAGTCCATGCAGTAGTTCGTGGAGTCCACAACGCTGCGATTGCGCTGCGGCAGATTGAAGACAATGATGCAGTAGCTGCAACAAACGAAGAGCAACCGATGGGGATTTGGAGAGCTGTTAGCCAGATTATTGGTCATTTTATAGATCTACCTGAGGTCCCGCTCATCGGGTGAACCGTTCCAGGCTATGGTCGCTCGATTGCACCTCGTACGCACATTGAAGACGCTGATGTTCAGCGGCAGCTCGGGCAGATCTCGGAACAGATGCTCGCTGCTCACAGCCACCTGCAGAGGGTTGGGGGAGAAACGATAGCTTAGTCCGAGGAATCACTTAGCCTGAGCCTGAGCCTTACCAACACTTTCTGGGCACGCACCGCCTCGTCCTCGTTGCTGGGCTCGAAGCGCATCAGATAGCGTTCGCCGGGCAGGACGCCATCCTGCCGCAGATAGGTGGGTCGGTAGAAGGCGTCCGATCTGATCACCTCATTGCGCTGGCGCAGCAGATTCACGCGAATCTCGCTGCCCGAGCAGGGCAGAAACAGGTGCCGCATGTAGGCCGGTGGCGGCTCCGTCTGCGGCACCTTGTAGCTGTACGCCTGCATCCCGTGCTGGCCCCCGATCTTCAGCATGGTGAGCGACTGCTGCCGCAGGGCCATCGGCTGGGTGCGGTTGAAGTTCACCTGGCTGCTGCTCAGCAGCATCGTGAGGTTCTGGCGACTCTGGTGGACCCCGTAGAGATCCAGCTGGTAGCTGCTCTTGGGCAGCAGGCGACGGAGCACCTGCTGGCGTCGCTTCCCCGTGCACACAATGTGCAGATTGTGGCGCGGATTCAGGCGACGCTCGCGCTTCGGTGGTGTGGCCCAGACCAGATCCAGGGGACTGCCACCGGCGGAGCAGCCAGCGGCTTTTGGATGGTTTTGCTTCACATAGGCACCAACGGCCTGGCAGAAGTTATCAAACGGATTGCGGAAGGGCAAGGCTGTAGTGTCCCTGTGCTGGATGACCAGACAATAGTGCATGGCATGGTAATCGAATTTGCTGCAAACGAAATCGAAGAAGAGGCATCAAAGCTGCAACTTGTAAATCTTCGACGTTTCCGCTCACCTTCTGTCCCATCTGACAACCATTTGACGCTTCCGCACCCGATTGTGGGTGCGAATGTGGATCCGATGTGTCTCGTTGAGCAGCGACCAGTCCTGCTGCGGATGCTGTGCCAGGGCGTCCACTTTCAGGGCGCCGGCCTGTCGCGCCTGCACAAAGAGATCGTACTGGCCGGGCAGGGCGCAGGGCAGGACCAGACTGCCCACAGCAATGCCAGGGCCAGGTGGAACGGCTGCTGGTCGCAGAACATTCGCTGCGAATCGGTCCATTTGAAGATCACAATGATGATGATGATGATGATGACGATGATGAAGAGGTTGGCAGCGCTTACCTGTTTGATTGTAGTACATCTTGCGGCCCACGGTCACCGAAAAGAGAATCGTCAGCGGCGTCGAGACGTTCAGGTTCAGCACAAATCTGCAAAACGAGGAAGACGAGGAGACTTGCTCAGAAGGCGTGTTCGAAAAGGGGACAGGGACGGACTAAGTGAGCTGTTAACGCCCTTTGTCAAAAATGATGACACTAAATTATCACACGCAATTTGTTCGGACTGACGCCTGTGCAGGGCCTGTGCGGGGCTGTGCCCCAAGTCCCGACTCCCAAGTGAACCAAATGAGTCAGCGGGTTTCGGCCTATACTATACCCTAACCCACAGCACTGTGAGTGTACCAGAACAGTCAGTGGGTCATTCGAAGTGGGAATCTGCTTAGATTTTTGTTAGGCAAATGAAGCCTTATCCTCAGCCAAACAAATTACAAAGTCAAACAACTCAAAGGGAAGTTGAATTTAAAGAGTATCCACACTTCGACCTGCTACCAAGCAACTTGAATTTGTTTGTCCATCCTCGGCTTGATGCTGTTGCAACATTGTTGCAGCCAAAGATTGAGTCCAAGTCCTCGGGGCACTGGATTGGGTCGCACTGCCTGATGGAGCTTTGCTGCATTGTAATTAAATGAGAAATTTACGAGCAATTTTTCTAATGACAAACGGCAGAGACAAATGCGCTGCCCTGCCCGATACACCCACACAGATGCCCATATGATGGGCAGTCTAGGATGCAGGATGCAGGATGCAGGAGAGGATAAATGATAGCTATTGGCCATTGCAGCAAATGACTCATTGACTTGGCTTATGGCCGGGGCCATCTCAAGTTTTATTTTTATGACCAGCTACTTCCGGCCAACGCCATTTGCCCAGCCCGGCCCGGCCCTCAAGCAGCGCGCCCCCGCAGCAGAAGGATGGCATATATGTTTCGTTTTTTTTTTTTTTTTGGCTGGTCTGCCAAAAGGTTCTCGGCCATTCCCCTCGTCATTCCGCCATGCCCGAGTGATGGAGTGTTTTAATGCATTCGACCATTGTTGGCGGTGGCGGCGCCGCAGCGACTGAGCCAATATTTGCTTTAATTTAAGCCTCGCATGTTGCAATTGCATTGTTTGCTGCCACTGCCAGTGCTAGGGCCAGTACCAGAACCACTGCCACTGCCACTATCCTTGTTGGCGGCCAGCCTGATGACAGCAGTCAATTATATAAGGCAAACATCAGCCAAAGACGAAAGTTGAATGCGCTCAATGGGAAATGATTTAATGGATTATGCCCCGATGCCCGATGCCCGATCTCCCACCCCCATAATGGACTCGAAATGGCATCGAGAATGGCCATAAATTTGCCAAACTCCCAAGGAGTATGACTCAGTACTCCCGCCAGTACTCCCAATATGCGGCACCATTCGGGTGTAGGGTGTCCGGGACATCACATGCAGCGCAGGATTCACAGACCTGTGCGCCCCACGCAGTCGACTCCCCAGTTGACTCCCCATCGTTCGGCGTGACAGACAAAATGTGGTCGAATTACCAGAGTGCGATCTGCCCTCTGCTGCTGCTGCCGGTGCTGCTGCTGGAGAGGGTACTTGGCGTGTATGCCATAGTGAATCCCTCCAATGACACGGCCAACACGGTGATTTATATGCTTCCCGCCAAGGATCTGGGCCCAGAGACCTGGCGGGCCGGCGTGGACTGCCTGGACAGCTTCGCCCAGATCTTCTTCTACCGGAATCCCAGGGAACGTTTCACCCGCTCCTACAACCTAATGCTGACCAATGCCTTCAACCTGTCAGCGCCGGCAGATCAGATCCAAGAGGGATTCCACAAGCTCATCAACGAGGCGGTCACCCAGCCCGGGGAGCCGCATCGCTCGGAGCTCTTTCAGCTGCGCGTCGTCTCCGATCACATGAGCCACCAGGCGAAGAGCAAGAACTTTGGCGAGCTGCTGCTGGCCGACAACTATGTGATCATTGTGGACTCCGTCGAGCGGCTGCTCAGCCTCATGAGTCGCTATGTGAGCCGGATGCGCTCGTGGAATCCGGGCGCACGCTTCCTGGTGCTCTTCCACAATCCCGAGGTGCACAATCGACCCTGGCGCGTGGCCTCCCAGATCTTCAACGAGCTAATGCAGAGCTTCTACGTGCACCGCGTGGCCCTCATATACGCCAACTCCTCGATGGACTACAACCTGCTGGTGAACGACTACTACAGCAACGTCGACTGCCGCATCCTCAGTGTCCAGAGCGTGGGCCAGTGCCACGATGGCCAGCTCTTTCCCAGCCCCATTGCCGTGCACGCGGCCATGACGGACTACATAACTGGCTTCAGTCCGAAGAACTGCACCTTCTTTGTGTGCGCTTCCGTCTCGGCTCCATTCGTGGAGGCCGACTGCATCCTGGGCATCGAGATGCGGATATTGGGATTCATGCGCAACCGTTTGGAGTTCATGGTGAGTCCGTGAGGACTCCAAACTCGCCCCAAACTCTGATGCATTAAGTACTATTTCCCTCGCAGGTCAATCAGACGTGTAGCTTGGAGAGTCGGGGCGATGTCGACAGTTCTGGGAACTGGAACGGTCTGCTGGGCAAGCTAACAGATGGCGAGTGCGATTTCGTGATGGGAGGCTACTATCCGGACAACGAGGTGGCTGAGTTCTTCTGGGGCTCGGACTGCTACCTGCAGGACGCGCACACCTGGTACATCAAGGTGGCCGATCGCCGGCCCGCCTGGCAGGCCATGGTCGGCATTTTCGAGCCGAGCACCTGGATAGGCTTCATTGTGGTGCTCCTGATCAGCTGGCTGTTCTGGTTCGCCCTGGTCAGCCTGCTGCCGGAGCCGGACTACTTCCAGCAGATCAGCCTGACGGCCATCAACGCGCTGGCTGTGTCCATATCGGTGGCTGTCCAGGAGCGGCCCGTCTGCCAGGCCACGCGTCTCTTCTTCATGGCCCTCACCCTGTACGGCCTGAATGTGGTGGCCACCTACTCGTCCAAGATGATAGCCACCTTCCAGGATCCCGGCTATCTGCACCAGCTGGATGAGCTCACGGAGGTGATGGCCGCTGGTATACCCTTTGGGGGGCACGAGGAGAGTCGCGACTGGTTCGAGAACGACGACGACATGTGGGTCTTCAACTCGTACAACATTTCGCCGCAGTTCACCCCAAAGACGGACAACCTGCTGGCCGTGAAGTGGGGCCACCGCTGCATCCTCAGCAATCGCATGTACACGCTCCAGAGCCCCCTGGCTGACGACATATTCGCCTTTCCGTATAACGTCTTCAGCAGTCCCATCCAGATGATCATGAAGGCGGGCTTCCCCTTCCTCTTTGAGATGAACAGCATCATCCGCTCGATGCGGGATGTGGGCATATTCCATAAGATAGACGCAGACTTCCGCTACAACAACACCTATCTGAATCGCATTGCCAAGATGCGTCCCCAGTTCGCAGAGAATGCCATTGTGCTCACCACGGAGCACCTGAAGGGGCCCTTCGGCATTCTCGGTGTGGGGGTTCTCTGCGCCTCCGTGGCATTTCTAGGCGAGCTGATGATTCGCTATTGGCCCTGCAGGCTGCAGGTCAAGCAGCAGAGTGCACTCCCTGCTACCACCTCTCATACTCGTACGCGTACTCGCAGGAAAAGGAATCATCTGCAGCTGCGGAGGGGCCAGTGGGAACGTCAAGCTCAAGTGGCTCCAGTCATACGATTTACGCCAGTCAAACGGCGCAAAGTTCTCTAGAGATGGCTGCTTTCGGGGCTGGTTTGGAATAGGGTTTAGGATTGGAATTGCGATTGGGACTGGGATTGGGATTGGATAGATAGACAAACAAGGCAGAGGGTAAACTAAAACAAACTGCGAGTAGCTGCCCGTTTGTGCTGCGATAAGAATTGACTCAATTCCCATAAATTTGCAATTGAGAGACAACCCCAACGTGGTCTTCCTTGTCTTCTTCCTCCTCGTCGCTGTCGTTTGCGTCGTCTGGTCTGGTCTGGTTCTGCGTCTTGTGTCTTGTGTCTCGTGTCTGGTCTGGCTCGGTCTAGCCTGGGTCTGGGTCTGGCCGCTTCTGTTACTTTTCACGCGAAATACTTAAAATCAGAGACAAAATTCTATTTTTGCAACTATCACGAGAGAAGGCAACAAAAATGAACAGCAGCAGCAGCAACAGCACAAGCAGATGCAGGCTGGCAGTCAGGCAGGAAGGGGGAGTCTTACAACCAACCCCTGGCACTCCACTTTCCGCAAATTGACAATCAGCATCAGCTTCAGCTTTTCCCAGTGCACAGCACAGCAAAACACCAAGAAGAAAACAGCAGGAAAAACTCCAAACCGAAAACAGAGATAAAGAACAAGTTAAGGAGCCATTCCTATAAGTAGCACATTCGCTGATTGCACAGTCCCAACAGTCCCCATAGTCTATAAAGAAGTCACAGCAACCAAAACAAATATCTCTCACTACCATATCGGATTGGACAAGTTTCGATTTGAAAATACGAGTACTCGTACTCGTACTCGCACTCGCACTCGTATCACACTTAATGAGTGAGTGAAAAGTTTCTCCGCATGGAAACATTTGTTTTGTGCAGCAAAGAGCAAAAAACAAATCGGAAATCACTTTGAAAATTTGAATTAAATCTATAATAAATTCTGCGAAAAGAAATTCTATAAATCTGTTATCGTTTTGGGAAATTCTTTGGAAATTACTCCACTGCCAGACACATATTTTTCTGCCTTTGGCTGATACAATTTGTCTTGAATGCCAAATGGAATTCCAAATGGATAATTCCCCATCCAATGGGATAAAACTTTGGTGCTAATAAAGTTTTGACTCCCACTCGAAGCTCGCATTTCACTGGGAATCCGATCCTGTTGTGCCGTTGGCCGAGATAATGGGACATTATTTGATCCCTCTATTATGCCGCTGAATGATTCAGACCTGACACACAGAAACAGGCAATTACTCACACCAAAATGGGCGCAGAGAGCACTTAGTTCCCCTTCCTTTCGCCTTTTTCCTTTCGCCTTTCTCTGCGACGAAATTTTAGACTATTGAACTATGGCGCTGAATTACCGACTCGTACTACCTCATCTGACCATTTGCCTCAGTGTCTGACTAAGCGAACTCAGCCCCAATGCGTCTCAGCACAAATCGAGCGACGCATCGCGACGCCCCTGTGTCTGTTATGTTCGGTGGCGGTTCTGCACGGTTCCGTACGGCTCTTTTCTGTTCTATTCTGTTCTGATGTCGATTCTCATTCTGATTCCAATTTCAGTTTCAGTCTGCTGCCGTCTCGCCCGAGTATTTTCGTACTGTGGCCAGTGCTATAAATAATGTACTATACCCACTATAGGAGATATTTTCTGGCGGCGCAGAAAGTTGTTCCGATGACGATGTTGATGACTGTGATGTTGATGTCGATGTCGATGATGATGATGGGGCATTTTGGGTATTTGGCGGCAAGGTCTGCGTTGTTTCACTCAAAAAAATAAAGAATTATGCGCAGCTTTTTATTGCAAATTGTTGCCGTAGCTGTAGCTGCTACTGTAGCTGCTGCTTTGTTGTGTTGTGTTGTGTTGTGGTGGCTCCTTTGATACGCTTACAAATAAATAGTTTGACGCCATTAAGCTGGCCGGGAGCGGGAGCTGCAGGGGAATGAGAGCATGGCAGAGGTGTGGGTGTGGGAGGAGATTGTCGGCCAGGCTAATAAAAGTTGTTTACATCTCTTGAGCCTGCGGCGCACATAAAAATGCATATTAACAGAATTTTGTTTTGATATCCTGTAGACAGCTGCAAGGGTAAGGGTATATTCGAATGGACAATGGAGAGGAAAGTTCTTCGATAAATAAAACCTAAGAAAAGCCAAAGATTCATATACTCCTATATAATATCGTATTATCTTTGATATTATTATAATTATTATTGTTATTATTATTATGGAAGGGGGTAACGAATAGTCGTGTCTGGAAAGGTGCGCCACTGGCTGGTGCCTATTGTGGTTCGGTTCGGTTCTGTTGTGATTTGAGGCCGCTGGCTGGATGGTTGTCTGAGTGGCTGCCACAACTAGAGAGCGGATGCTACAGGTGGCCGCTGTGGCGCGGTGGTTTGGTCGCGAATGATCGCATTGGGAATTGGGAATTGGAATTGTGCCGTCGAATTAAGTCGTTAAATTAATATTTATGATTTGTTTGCGCAAAAATATTAACGGCTGGCAGCTGATTGGCAGGGACCAGAGGGAAGTGCAGGATATGCGATGGGGATACGCTACCGATGGAGATGCCGATGGAGATGCCGATGCCAATGCGGATGCTGAGGCCAATGCCGACCGGGTGGGACATGCACTGGCAGGCGGATCGTTGCTGATTCTAGCAAAACTCTTAATGACTGCACGCGCCATAAATTGCGCTCACAACTCTGGCGACTCGCTCCTTTTCACACGCTCCGCAAACTGGCAACTCGAGACGAACATCACGTACTCGGAGTCTGACACTGACTCGGGCTCGGGCTCGGGCTCGGGCTCTTACTCTGTCTCTGGCTCCAGCTCGCACTCTGGAGACTGGAGCTGGCGACACTCGAGATGCAGTTGGGCAATTGGAGCACTAGTCGAGTCGCGCGACTGTTAAACATACGACAGAACGAGGTACGAGGTGTACCAGGCAAGAGAAATAAAGTAGAAATGGGCCCGAAAAAGGAGATGGCGACAAACCACGACATTAATTTGAATGTTTTCTAGCACTGTATGTCAAATGATCGAATGTTATACGAGCCATAAGCCCGCTTCTAGTCCTCCCGGCGACTGGTGTGCACGTCCATTGGAGATTGGAGATTGGAGAGTGGAGAGTGGAGAGTGCAGATGATGGAAATGAAAATCCGTATCCAGACCAGGCCTGCCTAAGCGAAAACGTGACGGTCTAGGCCCAAAAACAGGCCAGCCCAGGCCCCCCGTCAAAGCAATGAAACTTGGAACAAAAAAAAGAACATTGCTCATACGCCACGTGTTACGCTGAAGTGGCACAGTGGTGTGGCGCCTGGGCCTTGGGGTATTAAATGTCAGCATTTATTTAATATATGCTAAAAAGTAATGCAATCGACTCAATTAAAAGAATTCTTCGCGCAACTACTTCTGATTTACTACGTGAGAGTTCGAGTGAAAAATTTGAAAGATAAATTCCAAAATGTTCGTGGAATCTCAATCCAATGTGCCAGTGTGTGGCAGCAGCTGTAAGGCCCACAAAAACCCGCACACTAGACCCACAAGAAGAGGCAGACGGCTGAGAGTCACAGCCACAGACAGACACATGCCCATGTGTGCACGTACTTCTATGGGCAACTGTAAAAAAAATCTGGCTCTGGTTTGGTTTTTCTTTTTTTGTTTGCTTGGCCAGCCACACGTCGTGGTTATAAATTATTTTTTCCCCTACTCGGCCCTAGCTCGGTTTTTGCTTTGAGGCGCCCCTAAGTTTGGCGTTGGACATCTTTCGTGTTTGTTTGGCCATAATTTGATTTGTGTGGCAGGCGGCGTCGCCATCGCACTTAGCCATATTACACGACCCGACCGCGTCATGCCACCACCCTACTCACCGCTTCCTCTGCCGCCCCTCCAGGGCGATATGCACGGGCACATCCACATACAGGTCCTCCACATCATCGATGTCCTTCAGCATTTTGCGGTATCTCTGCAGCTTGTGACATCGCGCCGTCGTCGTCGACGTTGGCACCGGCATGGTCATCGGGTGCACCGGCGATGGCAGCTGCCCGGATGGACCCATGATGATTCGATTGCTGGCCAGCGGCGAGTGGGAGATCTCCGCCAGCAGCGAGCCGCTGAGCAGCAGCACCAACAGCAGCACGAGTCCTGGCATCCTGGCCAGCTATTACCGACTTCACCTTCTATATAGTCTATGAACCAATGACTTCCTGTTCAGGCTTTGCTTTGCTTTGGTTTATGGTTTTGCTAAGCGATGAAAACTTTAATTAAGTGAGATTCTGTGTGGTGCTCGTTGGTGGGAGAGTGTGTTGGAGTGGGCAAATTGCTCTGCAAACTTTATTCAACAATGCTACAGTACTGCAAAGAAAAGGCATTTTTGCTCAGATCAAAGGCAGTGATGTATTCTTTTACAACTCAGTGGCTTCAGCTTAAATATCATTGTCTGAAGCATTCCAGAATTGGGTCAAAGATTGAATTACTGGCTGTAAGAACTGGAGATGGTACAACTCTGGTCTGGTATACTGTGAAAAACATTGGCCTACACTCTGCATGAAGTGGGAAGGGGAATGGGAATGCTCTTTTTCGTATTTCCCCCTCTGTTGAGGGATAACTTTTCCATTATCCCCTTGACGATTTTCCCTACGACATAATCCTTGTTCTATCTGCTCCATTATTACGCACTGTTCGTATACTAATCCGTTGATCCAAAGCCTTCAGCTTTCCTTCAGGATTCCTGCAGCTCCACAGAGATTCCCAGGCAAAAGTTCGGCAATCCTTCTTGGGCTCCCCCTCTGTTCTTTGCACAATTAAGGCCTGTCAAACCTTTGACACACGTCGCCTGCTGTCTGCCCCCACTTTTGCTGCTGCTGCTCCCCCACCAATCACCCTGCCACCTACGTTCCGTTGCGTGTGGCGACAAGTTCTTTGGCTTGCCGCAAAATTGCCAAAAAGAAAAGGAAAATATTGCTGTTTTTTAAGGGGAGGAACATTGTGCTTCGTCTTCTTCTCTTTTCGGTTTTTCTCTTCTCGTTTTATCTTTATTTTTTTTTAGCTTATATTTTTGTTTGTTGGTTTTTTGGGGAAGGGGCTGGGGCGTTGGCGGGGGCGGTGGAGCGCCCAATTAATTTGAGGCTGCAGTAAATCGATTCTTGGAACTGTTAGATTTGCTAATTGCGGCTACCCGCTGACCTTTGGCTCTGCCTCTGTCTCTCTGCCTGGGCTTCTCTGCCTGTGGCACGCCACACACCAAAATCAATTAACGTTCTGCGAAATTTGCGTGTGCCGCAACAATTGGTCTGTGGATTAAATTATGCAGCAGCAGGGGGCGCCGTATAGGGGTTGTGCCACCTGTGGCTGGCCGGGGGGGCAAGAGCAATTAGCCGACCACACACACAAACACACGCACACAGAAGACACATGGAGGAGATCCATTTAATGGAAGGCGGCACTCTTACTTTTGAAAGCACTTTTTCATAAATTGTGATTTGTTGTTGCACGCATGGTTGTGGTGGCAGGGGGTGGGAGGGAGGTTTGGATACTTTGTTCACTGGTTTGGCTTCTCCTTTTGAAACTCTTAATCGACGGACGGCACACACGCGACACGTTTTTCCCGGGTGTTTCGCTCGGCTGCTGGTTCTCCGCGATACGCGATACGCGCTACGTAACGGAAGCGATGGGACACTGATTTGGGGCTGCTTGGCTCGTCTGCCTTCCTTGACGTGCAAACACAAAATGCCCGAGAGTCGTGCGCAAAGAAAGCCAAAAGCCCGAGCGCATAGCGCGGCAGCATGGCACCGAGCAGCGACGTCAGCCGTGGCAGTGGCAGAGGCAGCGCGCCAGCAGCAGCAAAGCAGCAGCGCAGCAGGCTGGCCCCAAACGAAGAAGAAGTCCCCATAAAGCACGAAGACGACACGAAGTCTCCCCCACGCACACACACACACACACACACACACAGCACACAATCACACAATCACACAAATACGCATGAAAGCACATACATAGTATACATACATACATACATACATATGTATGTATATTTGTGCCTTAATTAATGTTTTTTTTTTGTGTGCTTTTGGGCCTGCTCATTGATGAGGCTGCTGCCGTTCCTTTGTTTTCACCCCCTCTCTCTTTAATTCTTTTTCTGTTTTCTGTTTTCTGTTTTGGTTTTCGGCGCGACAATATTTTTGATTTTTGATTTTCGCTTTCATTTCATTGAAAAAAAAAAAGAAAAAAGAACAGCACAAGTCGCTGTCGCTGTAGCTGTCGCAGTCGCTATCGAAGTGAAAATGGAAGCATAAACAGATGAACAACATGAATTGCGTTGATTTTTTATGCCCGGCACGTGACTTTCGGTGCAAGCATTGAGCGCCACTCGGCCCCATCCATCTGCTGCCGTGGCACCCAGCGCAGCGCTCCTCGGGACGATCCACCATGTAATCGGAGCTGCCATAAACACGGAAGATACACATTAGATCCGAGTAGGGGCGATCTTGTAGCTGGAGCTGGATCTCCGACATCTGATCATCGTTTATGCGGAGCTCTGACCGTGAAGCTACATTCCATTCCAGAGTCAATTTGATTCAGGCGCATAAACCAAACCTAAAGACATACCTATCATACATACATATGTGCTGTTACGAGTATGTAGCTAAATATGTCTCAATCTTGGGTCTGACCAGCCCCCAGCCGCAGTTCACAGCCAAAAACTGCGCCAACGTCAGCGCGAAACCGAAAATCCAAAAAGATTGTGAAATTTTCACAGGCCGCTTGCAGTTTTGCTGATTTTTATAAATTTTCTGCCACTCCCCTACCCCTAGACGCCTGTCTGGCCACCTTTCCCTGGGTTCACCTGTCTGCCTGCATCTGTGGTGTGTGTGTGTGTGTGTAAGTGGGGGCTTTCCCAGAATTCTGACAACTCAAAACGTACGTAAAAGAAACTAAAAAAAACTGAAACAACATTTCATCGCTGCGGCAGGAAGGAAATGGGCTGCGTCTGGCGGTAGCGAAGCAACAAAATTAACAGCAAATTAGTTAGAAAATCAGGCAGCAATTTTAGTGACTTAATCAGCGGCAGTCAACAGAAGGGAAACCAGGGGAAACAGAAGGCCAGCAAGGCGCTGGCAGAGCGAAACATAAGGAGTTGACAGCGGGGCAACCTTGGCGGCTGGCTCCCCCAAAGCGCATTACTCAAGGGTCTCCGTCTCCATGCCGTACTCGGTTCCAGGCCCATGTCCAGGTCCAGGCTCATGCATAATGCAAGGCCCTGCCTCTGATTGGGGCGGCTCTGATGGTGGCCCAGCGACGGCGTTGCATTTTCAACAAATTAATTATTGGCAAAGAGGTGGAACAAGTCAGTTAGTCGGCTGACTGCAAATGAGTAACAAAAGGGTCCAAGGGACCCGGTACGTACCCATACCCGTACCGTTGAAAAACTTTCCGAACGATTTCGGTAAAATCAAAAGCAACTCTTTAAGAACAATTAAATCAAAAAATAAAATTTAAAGCATTTCGAACCAGAATGTTCTCCCAATTAATTATCCAATCAAACACTTTTAAAACTTAATTAAGCAAAGGTATTTGAGTGTATTATGATTTCGTGATTAATTGAGCTGCCATTACATTAGCGAATCCACTCACCCACGGCCGAAGTAAATGAATACAGAGTGAATCGAATTGAATGCAATCAAAATGTTGACAAAATACTTCGATTCGCTTTCGTCTGTTCATCTGTTCATCTATCCTGATGGAGTCAGCACGATGTTCCCGACAATCGATCAACAGCCACCACACCCCTGCCACCCTTTAACACCCTTTCCCCTGCTCCGTTCAGGCACCACCAACATATTTGGTACAACATTTTTGCCCCACACTCACACTTCATCAACGCGAAATGATTGGCATGCCATCGTCAACCGACAGAAGCAGCAACAGAAGAGGCAACATCAGCACCAGAGGCATCAGAAAGGACAACAACAATAACAAAAACAACAACAACAATAAATGCGGCAACGTTGGCGGCGACAGACTCCGACATGTGTAAAGGAATCGTTTAAAATAAATGACAGCGGCGCCCCCCCCCCCCTACTCCCCCAACTCTCTTCAGTCCCCCCCTGACTGCATAATTACCCAGAGAGCAGGGCACACGGCAGATCACAATAATCAATACGGTCAGGATGATGGAATAGGCGGTGGGGCGGAAGGGGCACCGAGCTGGTAGCATACGTGGGAAGGGAAAGAGGAGTGTGGCCGTCTTTTTGTTTTGTTCTTTCCCCTCTGCCTCTGCCTCTGTTGCTTTTGCTGCCACTGGACTTCTGAGGCACGGCCCAGCCCAGGGTCCAGGGTATGCGTGTGTGGTCCCACTCCGGGTTTTTTACATGTTTTCGGTGGCTTTGGCTTCGTTTGAACTTGGGCGCCGCTCAGGGGCAGCACTCAGTCGTCCTCTGCCATCCGTCTACGTCGAGCCTAGATCATTTTTTTACACGCATCCACAAATGTAGCAATGTAGCATCTAGGGACGCATACTCAGAGCCATGTGGGCATCCATGGATGGATAAAATATAGAAAAGAGAAATCAAAGAAAATATTAAACCCGATCTAAGGCAACAGATTAGTTTATGTACTACCCCAAAAAATACGCCAAAAATCATTTTCACGATCCTTAAACTCTTCCAAATAGCATGCTGAATCCACAGTTCAGCCCAGCCCTTGAACACGGAACTATCATGCCTGAGCAAGCCTTAGCCTGCAAAAAAAGAGGCACTCAAGTTTTTAGCACATTACAACACCTTTGGAACGAAAACTTTGCCGCGGGCCAAAACAACATCTGGGTCTTGGAACCCTGGACAAACACTCGTCGACTCCACGACCCACCTGTCCTGGCTCCACTGGATTGACAGATAGATGGGGCGTGGCTTTAACAAAATCAAAAACTTTAAAACTCTCGCCTTTATGCCCATCCTCTTCATCCCGGACTAAAGGAAAAGCTCAGTGAAAATTGTCAACTTGGCACGCATTTTATTAAATGAAAGAATTTTCCTTAGCTACAGTCAGGGGCGCTGGTCCATGGCGGGTATTCCAGCAAACCATGCTGCTGCTGCTGCTGTCAAAGTTACGCAAAACAAAATCGGAAAAGGCCATCTCAAAACACACACACACACACACACACATACACCGAAAGAGCAGACGAAGAAGTCAGGAGTGGCATGAGCCAAGTGGCATGGGGCATCTTCCACTTGCCAGCGACAAAGTGAAAATTTTTTAATTGCATTTTTGCCAACTGTCGCAGCGGATTATTGGCAAGCAATTCATTCCGTTGGAAATTGCAGCGGAAAATCTTTTCGCCCCACCAACACAGAAGCTGCATTAGGCTCTGTCTCTGCCTCTGTCTCTGTCTTTGTCTTCCGACTCGCTGAAGAAGAGGAAACTTTCATTAAAAATTGTTCATTTGCTTGTAGAGCGAGCCATTGTATTCGGGAAAATAGGGGAAACGAAAGGAGATTTCCGTTTGCTGTAAAAGCAAAAGAATATTGCTACTTATGCTAATGATGAATCGACAGGAGAAAGGTAGAGGATAGGATGATTTCCATTCAAATCTTTTCGCTTGGAAAATACGTGTATTTTTTTTTCTAATCAAGATCCTGGGTTATTATCAAAGTTCCTGGACCTCATCATACACTGACTGGTTCGAATGGATGCATATGGCAATTTTTAGCTGTGAAAATCACAAATTTACATTCACATGGAATGGCATTGTCTTGCTCTGAACAATATAATTCCGATAGATTCGTATATATATATATATAATATTTAAATTTAACACACATACGCACACACACGCATAAAATCGATACGAATAACAATTTCAGTCATTTTTTTTTCTCGTGATTTTGTTCAACTTGTTTGTTGTTTTTTTTTTTCTTCTTATGTTTTGTCTTAAACGTTTCAGCCGCTTGTCATGCGATGAAAGAGCTTTCGATGGTCGAGTGTGTGTGTGTGTGTGTGTCCGAACTGTTATGCGTCGCCACCCAGAAGCTCAAGTTTATAAGAGCCACCACCACCACCACATCATCATCGGTAGCATCATCCTTATTCAGAGTCCCAGGAAACTTCGTCGATAAGTTGTTGCTGCCACGCAACCAGCACGACAACAGCACCAACAGCAACTGCTACAAAAAAAAAAGGGACAACCTTTGTCATGACCACGTTCATCATCATCATCATCAGCAGAGGCAGCAGCAGCAGCAGCAACAACAACGGGGAACGATGATCATGATCGATGCGAATGTTGGCAATAGGCACAGCGCCCCAGAGGCAAACGGCGTCTGTGTTTGATTTGTTTGCTGCCGATTCTGCTGCTTGTGCCGCTTCTGACCATTAAAAGTACAATGACCAGAGGAAAATAACGTTATTAAGCCATCCGCAGGCACCAGCCACAGCCAATGAAAGCTAAACTCTACAAGAACAACAAAACATAACCCTTCGGAATCGGAATTGGAATCGGAATCGGAATCAAAACAAAGTGACCGAGAATTGGCCCAAAACACACACACACACACACACGAAATCTACCGGGCATGGACATGGGGATATTGTTTACGACACTCAACAAAGGCCCAAAGGGTATGTTCGATTCGCCGATACCGATACGCAAAATATTCCACAGAAATTAATTATAGCTAGCATACCAGCCATTAAGCACTTTTCATAATGATATT